ACAAACAAACAAACAAACAAACAAACAAAGTTCGCCCCACCAACTAAAATGTGGCAGCTACTGGAGGGCTTAACCAGATATTTGAAATATGACGCTGCTTACCGGTAGGTAATACCAAGCTTCTCTTCGCGGATGGTCTGTAAACATGTATTGACTTGGTGGTTTAGTCATGATAGTCCCATTTCACCGTCCATTATTCCTGTAACGAACGACGTTCGTGGAATACAGTATAGTGTAAGTGAGTATTACTTGGACACAAGATGTAATGCAATTTTGAACCCGATTAATGAATAAACAAACACCTAAAATGGCAGCCTTTTACCACTGCCTTCCATGCAACCTTTGTATAAATTCAACTCGCCCAAACTCCATGAACTCCCCTCGCTTTCCAATGCATCCATCAACTTCGAACAAAACAGGGGGGTATACGGCTATGATATAAAACCAAAAGCATTGGATGCCCATCCCATCTCCGGGCGAAAAACAACTTACGCCACGCTCAAACAATAAGTCCGTCATAAGCTCTCTCCACGGTTCGGCTTCCCATGCCTGGAACAGTCCTCAGCTGAGCAAGACTGTCGATACGGCCACCAGCCTCGTCATCGTTGACAAGCTCAAGATAGTCAACCAGGTCACGGGCTTTCTTTGCACCGAAGCCGACTAGGCTTCGAATCTGATCGAGGTCGCGTGAGTTGACAATATCGAGAAGATGCTGAGTTCGAGGCGATGCGGGAGACTCATCGTCACCCGAAAGAATGGACTTGGTGGCAAGAGCCTTGACCTTGAGCTTTCGAGACTTGGGCTTTGAGGCACGGTGAGCGAACTCTTCCTCATCAACGTCTGCCTCGGCAGTCTCATAATCGCCGTCCGCATCATCGTAGACGAGCCTTCGCTTCTTGCGCTCCGAACGAGGAGTTTCCCGGCGAGGAGAAGGAGCGGGAGCGTTTCCGTTCAACCGCGATCGTAGTCTCTCAATTTTGTTGAGCAGCTTTGCTTGTCCAGGAAAGTAGGGCAGAGCTCTCTCGTACATCTTAAGCGCGATCTCATCCTCGCCGCGCTCCTTGTGTTGGCGAGCAGCCAGGAGGAACCTCAAACCCTCCGACTTGGAATCATCTCGCCATTCATCGCTGTCAATCCGCCGCTCAAGAGCCTCCAATCGTCTTTGCACAGCATCACTGATTTCAGGTTGGACCGTTGGTGGGGGCTGAGATTCTTTTTCAGCTGCAACTCGAGCAGCAAGGATCTCGCTGACCTTCTTCTCAACCATGGCCTCAATTTGAGCAGCGGAAACCGTAACAGATGCTGGAGCTGCAGGTCTTGAGATCTTACTGGGTCTCATAGCGGCATCATTTTCAGACGGCCGCTTGACGGGATTGACTCGACGGGCGATATTGGAGCTCGCCAGGGGACGGCTGACAGGTGCTGCTGGCTTGGACTTGTCAGTGTAGACGCTGAAGGCCTTGACGGGCTTATTGGCATCGGCAGCCTTGTCAGCGGCTTTGGCAGCAACATTTCCGTTGTGCACATTGGTGAGGTTGGCAAGTGGCCGAAGAGGCTGACGCTGGACATTGGAACCTGTGAGACCCGAGTTTGCCCTAGGAACTTGCTTGTACACAATCTCATTCTCAATCTCCCTAACCTCGATCCTTTTCGCTCGAGAGCTGACGTTGAGACTGCTGAGGGTGTCGAGGTGATAACTTCGCAGAGGGGACAGATTCAAGATCATGACAGTGATTCCATTGTTCTGACCCAGTGACAGAATCCGTGTCATCTTGGACTCCCGGTAGGGTATTCTCTTGTCACCACGGCCGATAGCATCGATGCACTGGCTCAGAACAAAGAGACTCTTGTTGATGGCCGCAGATTCCACCAACCTCTCCTTTCCGTTGTCGGTTCGGCGGTTGTCCTCAGATCCGGCCAAGTCAATGGCGGAGGCTGTGCTCTCCCTGACCATCTCCGAAGTGGTTTGGATCAGCTTGACTCGTAGGATAGCATGGCTGCGGCTACTGTGGGCATTGAGCTTGGTAGCTGCCGTGACACGGTTGTTGTTGGCTTCGATATAGAGCTTCTCAAAATCCTTGAGGTCTTCGCAAGCTCTTTCTGACAGACCGACAACGATAGTCTTGCCATTGGCCTCAGCTCGTAGTGGTAGACCGGTTGGCGTTCGCTTCTCGGGTGGCTCGAGGAGATCAAAGACCTTGTCGTTATAGATCTCGTAGTAGGACAGCAAAACCTGCACATCCGTCTCACCGCGAGAATCCTTCATGATCTTCTTGCCTCTTCGAAAGACGTTGCTGAGCATCCGAGGAATCACCCCGCGGTCTGCCAGCTTCATACCGCCTCGCATCGTGTGTGTTTTACCGGTACCGGTGACACCATAGGCGAATATTGTGACATCGTATCCCTGGAAGAGAGACCTGACGTGCGGCGCCACTATTCGAGTCAACACACGATACGATACGAGCAGGAACGAGACGTAGTAAACGAAAACAAGACGAAACAAAACGCGTTAGCTTATGAGATCGCACCTTCAGCAGTAAACAATTCCTCTTGAGTGGTAGATCGGTCGTACACGCCATTGAACGCGAATGAGAACTCCTCAGCCTCGTTTTTGGGGTTGGGAATCTTGACGACCGTGTTTGGCTTGCCAGAATCGGCGGTATCGGCTCGAACGATAATGTCACATTCGCGCTCCTTTTCGAGCAGCGGTCTTATCCTGGAGACCACTCTCACACTCATTGTGTAAGTATACACGTGTATTCGGTATCGAGAGGATTGTATTGGTTGTGAGGGCGAAGAAGCTCAAGGTATCGTTGAGTCGGACTCTGTCAGCCTACCAAACTGGCCGCTACCACGTCCTGAAAGTTAGCAAAGATTTGCTATAGAGAAAGATAGCATGGGTAGCGGTCTAGTGAAATGAGGAAGAAAGCACGGGCGTTGGCACAGCAACGGACCCCCACGTGACATGACGTGTGGGAACGGGAAAAGCCGCTAACAATACTGATTCGCTTTAGATGATAGCGGGCTGGCTTGAGCTGAATGTGAGGTGGTAGATGTACAAGTTATACAGCTCTCTCAGAGCTCATATATCCAACAAAAATGCGAGGCCAATTGCCCTTAACGAGAGCGGCGCGAGGACTACGGCTGCGGGCATTACCTTCGTATACTTGCACTCAGTGCAGGAGTATTCAGATCAGCGCTGCGCCGAGCACTGAAGCGCCAAAGGTTGGAGCTGATGCCTTTGGAGCTCTCGAGACAAGGGATCCTGCGGGTATGATTTCTCTGTGCCATTGAGCTATGACAGAAGCGAGTCTCTGACCCTTTACCTGTTTAGATGCTCGATTCGAGGTTCTCGGCTCACCATATTCGCTCCTTTCTGTGACGTTGTCGGCATCACAGAAGCTCTATACTCGGAGGGGTACCTTGGTTGCTGTAGCCGGCAAGCCTGAAAATGTACGCAACATCACGACCAAGATATCAGAAGACTTGTTAATACGATAAACAGGCCCAGTCCACACTCTCGATCCTTAACCCGATCACACGAGCCTTTCTCGGCGTTCCCTTTCTATACCAGCGCATCTCAGCCACGACACCCATCACAGCCTTGATATCGACGAAATCACCTACAACCACTTTTACAGTTCTCCACCTTGACGGAACGACAGATTGGATGATCTCACAGAGGAATGCACTGTTGGCTTGGACAGGACACACTCTCGCGCCCTCGGCGCGCATTCAGAGCAGCCTCACACTAGCCCATTGGGGCAACACACTTCTAACAGGACGAGGTCTCGCCGCTCTATCAGCACCAGGGCAAATCTACGAGCTCACTCTCAAAGAGGGAGAGGAGTTTGTCGCGCATCCCGGAAGTGTTGTCGCCTATTCGATCAGCCGATATCCGCCGCAGCCTTTCCGCTTTAAGAGCAACAGCCTACGACTCCAGGTGCCCTCGCTATCGAGATGGATCTCAGAGCCTGAATGGGTGAAGACTGTGCGTAACTCGGAGGTATGGAAGTACCTGGCAAGAGCTTTCTATAGCATGCGAACAGCTACTCGACGAACCATCTGGGGTGATCGCCTTTTCCTCCAGTTTCATGGTCCCACGAAGATCCTCATGTCTAGCCGAGGAGTGCGCGCTTCAGACGTTCTCACTAACGAGCAAGTGAATGAGATTGCTGATGCCCAGCCCGGTGTTCTGGCAGAAGCTCTCGACTTGAAAAATAAGCCCAAGCTGACTGACGGTACCGAGACCAAGCCTGCCCCTGTCAAGGCTCTTGAGCCAGAAGTGGAAGACAAGTCAGTGACGGGAATTCACGTTGCCACAGTTGAGAAGGATGGCAAGGTAAAATTCGAGGACAACAAGGATCTCAAGGAGTTCATACGATAAGAATGTGCAGACGAGGGGCAATGTGATATGAGCGAGCGATGTTGCAGAGCATGAAATAAAAAAAGGAGGCAGACGAGCAGGAGACTTTTACACAACACAACGTTTTGTTTGTCATGTATGATTACTTCCCTACCTATACTATCCATTATAGAGTTGAAGCTTTTATGTATCAATATCGAGACGTTCTAAGAGCTGTTACTTGATTGGTGTTTTCGGGAATTCGGCTCATACTGAAGATGTGGCTTAAGTCTCGAAGAGGCACAGCCAGCACCATAACAACAGCGCATGTCACTAGGTAGGTATTTGATGGTCGGGCTAATCAATTCTCGCATCGGATCCGAGCGGTCTATTCAGGCCCCTACAGGAGGAACAGCTCAACAACAGGCTAAAAAGCACGACGATCACTGACTCATCTCATGCAGCCAACTTATCTGACAAACCATTCCTTTTCAATTGTATTAATAATGTAGGCTCGAAAGGAGCAGTCGTATGTTACCATAGCTCGAAATTATTGGATGATTTCCGTTGCCAGCCACGCTTTGGGCTTAGACAGCTCGCGACTCGGCCTTGAGTTAAGTCCAATGTCAGAGTGAGACCAGCCCTATGAGTGTTTGATAACGGACGAAAGAAGCAAAAAGAACCCTTGTTAAAGCCGATACTGATCCACACTTCGACGGATTTATTACCTCCGCCAAGGACGAACACCGATTGAGGTGCAAGGATAGACACGGTACTCCGTAGGTACTGGTTTCAACAACGGGAGATCTACCCCACTAGCTAACATCGATCATATAGATACATAGGTAGATGTAAGACGGTGAGATTTACAGAGGGCAATAATTATAAAGGTTCTGCCCATACTGGGCTCAAATATACTATCACTACACAGCAATGATTTGCACTTGTTAGCACTGACATATCATGGCCCAGTGGCAGCTTGAGTAACACGCAACATAATAATAATTATTTCCTTTCTTAGCACCTGCATCTCAGATTACACCTACACAACCATAATCATGGCTCGTTCGACAATATCCTCCTCCTCTGAGACGGTCAATGACAGAAACCTCCAACCAACCACTTCAACAGACCCAGAAAAGTCAGGTCCTCAACCTACGGCCAAAACAGAAGCCAACATACATCCAGAACCTGCCAACGCCGTCGTGGCAGATCTCGAGCGTGGTGACAAGGATGAGAAGAAACAGGAGCAACCACCAGCAGGTCCTCCACCAGGAATGGCACCAGCTGATTTCCCAGATGGTGGTTTCGAGGCTTGGCTTGTTGTCTTTGGTGGATGGTGTGCTCTGTTCTGCACATTCGGCCTTGTGAACTGCGTGGGTGTGTTCCAGAAATACTATGTTTCTGGACCGCTTAGGGACTATGATAGCTCTGCCGTGAGCTGGATCACCTCTGTTGAGGTGTTCTTCATGGTCTTCTGTGGTGCCATTGTATGTGTACACATCCTCCTCGTATCAAGCAATAAACTTACCCCTTGCTAGTTTGGCAGTCTGTTCGACAACTACGGCCCCAAGTACCTTCTCTGGTTTGGGTCGATCGCCTACATCTTTGGTCTCATGATGATTTCTTTGTCAAAAGAATACTATCAGTTCTTCCTCTCACAGTCCATCGTCGCAGCCATTGGATCAAGCGCTGTCTTCAACGCTTGCATGTCCTCACTCGTCACCTGGTTCTTCAAGCGTAGAGCTGGCGCTTTCGGTATCATGGTCTCAGGCTCGTCTCTCGGAGGTGTTGTTCTTCCAATCATGATGGACAAGATGATCCAGAGCGTCGGCTTCCCCTGGATGATGCGTACCATGGCTTTCATGTTCCTCGTTTTGCTTGTCTTCTCTTGCCTCACTGTCAAGTCCCGTCTACCTCCTCGCCCCAAACCCTTTGTTGTCAAGGACTACATCAACGGTCTCCGTGAACTTCCCATCCTCATCACTGTCATCGGCTTCTTTCTCTTCATGTGGGGCATGTTTCTTCCCTTTAACTATGTCCTCCTCCAGGCTCAGGCTGCGGGCATGTCCGAGACTTTGATCCCTTACCTGCTACCTATCCTCAATGCTGTGAGGTAAGTCATGGCCCTTCCAGACGGCGCTTTGCAGTACGTACTGACTTGACCACAGTATCTTTGGTCGTATTATTCCTGGCATTATCGCCGACAAAATCGGTCGATACAACGTCATGATCATCATCACATTCATATCCGCACTCTTTTGTTTCTGTGTCTGGATTCCTGTCAAAGATACCGCCGGCATTGTTGTATTTGCTGTCATTTTTGGGTTCTCATCGGGTGGCTATATCAGTCTCGTCCCGACTCTCATCGCACAGCTCTCCGATATTCGCCAGATTGGTACTCGTGTTGGCGCTGCGTTTGCGATTCAGTCTTTTGGTGCTCTGACAGGAAGCCCCATCGCTGGAGCCATCGTGTCTGCTCAGAATGGTGACTATCTCGGCCTGCAGTTGTTTTGTGGTTGTTCTATGCTGGCCGGTTGCATGTTTTTCGTCTTTGCACGTTATGTGCAAGTCGGATTGAAGGTGGTCAAGGTCTGAGGTCTGTCCAACACGAATGGAAGAGCAAATCACAGGCTAGAAAGTCGACGAGTTGGAAAAATAGGATCAAGTGCAAAAGCAAATGGAATCCACACGAGACACAGGATGGATGAATACATTCGGAAAAGGTTAACATTGAGAACGTGAGATAATCCGCATTTAATGGAGAAGATGTCGCTAGCTTATACTGGCGTGAATAATGAGATGACCGTAAAGTCAAATTAGGACAGACAATGCTTGTGGCACACACGAAAGAGGAATAAACCAGAGTAACTAGACTTGGATGAGTTAGCAACACATCCAAATGAGCTTGCAGTAAACAAAGACAAAATGAGGGGGTTCTCAGGATGTAGATATTGGTGAGCGTTGGAATCATTAAGATCATAAACAGCCTCTGACTCGATGTATCATCATAGAACGGTATGCGAAAAGATGAAAGAAATCACACGCACCACAATGCTTTACACAGAGAAAGTTTCGTAGATAACGAGCCTAGTGTCTTGATGCAGTTAGCATTTTCCCGTCAAAAATTAATAGACTTATAACAAGTGAGAATAGGGGCTCAGGATGTAGATATTGGTGAGTGTTGGAATCATTAAGATCATAAACAGCCTCTGACTCGGTATATCATCATAGCAAAGCAAAAGAAACAGGGATATACGTGACCTACCTTATGATATAATAACATGTGGTATTTCCTCAATGATAGAGAGCTATGCAGGCAATCTACCATGGTCAGCGAATAGTCCAAAATAACGTCATCAAAACCATGCGAATCAATAGGGGACTGTGCTCAGGATGTAGATATTGGTGAGGTTTGTAATCATTTTGATCATAAACAGCCTCTGACTCGGTGTATCATCATTGCAAAATGGGGAGGGACGAATGAAAGCTCAGATGACATACCTTTTGAGAGAGAACTGACTGCCCAAGCGTGAGTTGGCACAGTTCAGAGCCTCACATGGAAACAAAACAAAACTCCAATTCTCTAGTGTAGCATCTCTTCCTCGCCCAGAAGAGTTATGTACAATCGCTCCCGTCCCTTTCGCCCGCTTGTCGCTTCGTGCTTATTGGCTACCCTCGACAGTCGCCTTAATGGGGTTAATCTCAACACCGTACTTCTCACTAAGTCGCTCTGCCCTTCGCTCCTCATATCCAGGAGGTCGGATGCCTATCAAAGTGTGAGAGGATATCCGTCCACATCGGACGTCGTGCGCGACTTACCTCGACCCTCGCCAATCTCTGAAATAGTCTGCTCAATTGGCAGTCGGGTGCTTCGTCGGATGATCTCCTTGCGCTCGAATTCGTCGTCCTCTCTCTTAAAGCTATCGTATCGGCCGCCGAGGTAGTGGAACATACCCTGGAAGATTGCGAGACCACCACCAAGTCCCATAACAACGGGCATTCGTCTCGCTGCAGCGTGTTAAATCATGCGGTTTTTGCGATTTGAGGTACAAGATCAGGTCATACTGGGAAGGCCGAGAACTGAACCCAGGGCAAAGCCACCGAGAGCAGCAGAGAAGGCGTCGTCCTTTTCGCGGAGGTTCATTGAGCTTCGTGAGACGAAGACATATGCGGCGGGAGCGGCGGCTATATGACATAATTAGTACCGCTAAACCTCCAATTGGTCTTGTCCACCACATCTATCGTACCTCCAATACCGATAATATGAGCACCTCGGGTGAAGACGCTCAAGATGCCGACATTGTTCTTGGCCATGGCATTCTTGACGGAGGAGAGGAAGAGACCACTGAGAGCACCGATCACACCAGCCTTTGCGGTGTCATCGAGGACATCGTGAGGCTTGAAAAGGTTTTCGGCCTTCTTGTGAGCCTTCCAATTCGCGCTCGACGGGTGCTCCATTGCGAATGCTGTGAGGGAGAGGAGTTGGGAGCTTTTATTTCTTGGACCTGAGGTTGAAGCCGAGCTATGGAAACTGTAGGATTGAGATGCCTCCACAGGAACACGTGACGTTGGTCATTCAATTGCTCTGCTCTTATTGGCCCAAGAGAGCTAGATGAAATTCAAGTCCGCTGTCGCGGTACGTACCTCCATCATGCCCCACCATCACTGGACTCAGTGAGAAAAATTGGCTATGGGCTTAACAAAGATAGTCTTTCTCCCGAGCTTTGAATCTGGGTAGAGGTATTCGACGGATATGCCATTGACTCATATAGAGGCTTGGCTCCTATTACGTTCATACAATTATCCAATTTCCGAGACTGCTCGATAATAAGATCGTTACGCAGCTCATTTTCCTATTCGACGTTATCCTGGCAAACCTCTTATACGACTTATCTAAGAGAAGTTATCCTGAACTTAGAATCAATTCATCAACTCAATTCGCCACATATTGGTTTCCTGTATAGATAAGATCGAAAGAATTGATTCTCCCAAGATGGAGCCAACAACAAGTGAAGGAGAGACAGGTCAACCTCATCATCAGGAAACACCTTCACTACCAGAAAACTCAGCCAACACTGGACATAGTGAGCAAACAGTCACCACCGACTCTCACACAAAGCCAACAGATAATGTGCCCCTTACAGAGGGCTCAACTATTCCTCAAAAGCGGCCTGCGGATGACGAAGCCGCCGAGCCTATGTCCAAGAACGCTCTGAAGCGTTTGAGAAAACAGCAGCAATGGGAAGCCGGAAAAGAGGAGCGCAAGCAGAAGCGAAAGGATAGCCGAGTCGCACGCAAAGTCCGCAAGCGTGAAGAAAGGGCAGCGCTTATCGCCCAGGGCATTGATCCAAACGCCAATAAGCAGCAGAAACCTCCTTCAGTTAATGTGCCTGTCACACTCATCTTCGACTGTGACTTTGAGCAGTACATGCGTGAGAAGGAGCTCATTTCACTCGGCAGCCAAATCACCAGGTCATACTCAGAGAACAAAAATGCGAGATATCGCACACACATCTTCGTTTCGGGTTGGAATGGAAAACTGGCTGAGCGGTTCCACCAGATCCTCGATGACAAACACAAGAACTGGAAGGGGATTGATTTTGTGGACGGAGATTTCATCGAGTGTGCGAAGCAGGCTCGGGAGAAGATGAAGGACCCGAGTGACCACATGGTCGATCAACTCCAGAGGAGCTTGGACAACAAAATCCCATGGGTGAGGGACGAAAAGGACCCTCTCCCCTTGCCTGATCCCGAGCCAGAGCCCTCTCCTGAATACCAGGACATTGTTTACCTATCATCAGACTCACCTTACACACTCGAACGCCTCGAGCCCAACACAAGCTATGTCATCGGCGGCCTCGTCGACAAGAACCGTGAAAAGGGGCTGTGCTACAAACGAGCAAGGGAACGTGGCATCCGAACGGCTCGGCTGCCTATCGGCCAGTACATGGTGATGCAGAGCCGGACGGTTCTAGCGACAAACCACGTCGTCGAGATCATGCTAAAGTGGCTTGAGTATGAGAACTGGGGCGATGCATTTTTGAGTGTCATCCCTAAGCGCAAGGGCGGTCACTTAAGAGACCAGATGGGCGATTCAGGTGAGGCAGAAGAAGCTGAGGGGGCAGTGGTCGAGGAGGTTGAGGAGGAGGATCAAGAGATCAAGGACCCTGATGCTGAGGAGACCACTCCTCAAACCAATACCCCTGAAGTCGAAGCTCCCTCAAAGTAGAGACATCTGTATTATTGCCGTGCTGCGCCAGCCAGTTCCAAAAGCAAATACCAAATATACCAAATATACTGTTCATAAGTCTGTCCCATCTCATATCGCATCTAAAAGTCCATGCTTTCATCCTCCCGCTCCCGCTTTACCTTTACATCCTTCTCATCCTTCATCAAACCATTAACAAAGTGTCTGAACTGCTCAATATATGGCTTCAGGCTTGTCTTTTCCCAGTCAGCTGTGCCTTTACCACCCTCCTCCTCCTCTCCCTTCCAGGAGTCGATCTCCGCCAAAAGATCCTGCACCGTAGGCACACCTAGAGGATCAAAGTCCTCGAGATTCTTCGTGTTGATGGGCACACAAACTCGGCCAGTACCGGGATGCACGACAAAAGGACTCTTCAGCAAATGGTTGAGTTTCTTGCTGACTTCAATATCCAGTCGAGGGTAGGTGTACTCCAAGACAATGTCCTGCTTGGCTTCAAGGAGCTGTCTGGCGTCGAGGTTTTTGCTGGCGCCCGACTTTGCTACTGCGTCAATGTCTGCCCATTTTGAGGCTGATGCACGTCCTGGAGCAGCATCCCATTTCCTTCGTAGTGATTCGTTGAGGTTCTGATTTGGAAGAAGCTGTAGCAGCTTCTCGGATTGCTCAGCAGAAGCCCATGGGTCTTGGACATCAAGAACGTCTTCTTGGAAATGAGTTTTCAGGATCTCCAGGCTCCGTCTACAACGAATTAGTATATCGTCTTCACAAGAGTCTAGCTCATGAACTCACGCTAAATGAGGATGCAATGGCCTCCTCACATTCACCTTCTTTCCGCTCTGAGCACCTCCCTTGACCACCTCTAGGTAGCCTGCAATTGCTCTTCTCTTCTGATCGTCCATGCTTCGAACCTTCGTATCGCAAACCCAGGCGTGAGCACCTCGTCGTCCTGAGTACACCCACATGATATGCTTGAAGCCAAAGTCTTCCCTCAGCGCAACATCTACCACTTTAATAGCCATTGTCATGAACTGCCAACACTTGTTGCAGATATTCGCCTTATCACAGCATGTTCGAATATCATCGTAATCTGTCAAATCTATATCGAAACATAGCTCTTTCGCGAGGGGCTTGAAGGCGGATGAGTTGCGGAGTTGCTTTCGGTCGCGGGGATTGGTGGTGTACACTGGTCCGATTTCGAAACGAGAGGGCATTAGTCGGAGAACGTCCTTGCGAAGCCTGTAAAAATATGAGTGTTAAATCGCAATGAGCAACAAGGTCACGTACATATCGGCGGTAGGGAAGGATTGGTATCGGAGGTAGGCATCGTTCTGGAGGGTGAAAGCGAACTCTCGGTTGCCAAAGTCGTTTGTTGGGGTTGGGCTGTGATTGAGCCACTGAAATAGGTATCGCCATGGGAATAATCGCTGATAGAAGCTTCGCATGACTTCAGGATCTGAGGCTTTCAATGTCATAGCATCGCTATAACCAATTAGTTCAACCGCTGTGCCAAAACGTGGATTTTACGTACAAAAGCGGTGCAACTTGTGAGCTTGGCTGAACAGCTGCAGAACTGGGGAATTCCTCGTCCGAGTCGACATCGTCGAATAGGTCCTCGAGTTGTTTGGCTTCCTTCTTGACGTCTTCTGTCTCGTTCATTTTGACATCAGCCTCCGGCGCATTAGGAGTCTCATCAGAGATTCCTGTCTCCTCCGTAGGCTCGTCCTTAACGTTACTTGGGGATGACATGGCTTCTGCTTCTATAGAATGGGGCATTTTGATTAACCGACAGCAATTGTTGTTGTGATCGGTTTCAGAGCGCCTATGAATTCTAAGTTGTCGTTGCTGGTTGTCGCAGTGATGGGACTGGAAGATAGACTAAAGATAGTGGTAGAGGGGTGAAAGTGAAACGCGTTAGACGCGTCTTTTCGCGTAAAGCTGTTTCCACTACTGGCAATTAAGCGAGGTACGTATCTTTTGATCATCTCACCAAAAAGATTCAATCATAGACAACGATCTTATAATCTATCAATCAGATTCCATTTGCTCCGTAACGATAGGGCCACCTCAAAATGTGAAGTAAAGTTCGACGCCTGACGTAAAAATGTACTTTTTAAAAACATTTCTCAAGATAGAGCCTGAGTCTATATCTCGATCTATATGCATGGGTATTCTCCAATATGTCTGCACCTCTTGAACGATGCGTCAGCTTTACTCGACTTCCTCAATCTTTCTAATCATATCGCCACCAATCCTAGCAATCTCTGACAACACTGCCTTACGGTTCACCACGACTACATCTCCATCCTCGTCGGTTACCTTGTGGAAATTATAAGGTAGACCAGCTCGGAACTTCTGCTGCTGAAGCTTTGGGTTCCAGATAGCCCCTATCACAGCATCGTCCTCGTCGCTGTTGTTGGTTCCCCGGAAGAACACAAGTGAATCGTCGTATACACGCTGTAGCTCCTCCATCAATACGTCGACAGGATGAGCACGGATGGGGAGTGGTGCGCGACCTGTGCGATCATCAAGGTTCTTGAACTGGGAGTGACGGCGGGCTGAGGGGTCAGAAGCAGCCTCTCGAAGTATTGAGCGAATAGCTTTTCGAGAAAGATGTAAAAGAACATCGTAGTCTTCGAGAGAAGTTTCAAATAGCTCAGTAGCATCAATACGGTATCCGCTGTCCTTCACAAGTTTGCATGCGGCCTTAGCCAGTCGGGTCATACGTGAGGCGATGAGCTTAGAAGGTCCATTGCGGGTATAAGCGAGGCCAGAAGTGTCATTAGAGGTGGCAACAAACATGACTGTGTGGTTCATGTTGGGATCCTTCTTGCGCCGAGACTCAAGCTCTTTGCGAATGTTATGGCGATCATCATCAGTCAGCTCCTCTGCAGAGTCGACGATCAGAGGCTCATCACGCCAATCCCAGCGCGACAGGAATGTCAGGGTGCGTAAGAAACCTGTTGAGGCACTCGTGGGGGCTCTCCATGGGTATGGTTGTAAGAACACGTGCAGAACGAAGAGCTCAATAAGCTCCTCACTGATGTGGCTTGAAAGCTTGTGAGAGTTGAACCAGTGCTTTACCAAGCGGATAGTCTGTGATAGAGGATGAAGGCGTGTGCAAAAAGTTGAGATAGTCTGTGTATGAATTGGTAGGGTAGCAAAGAACCAGTTGGTCCTAGCAAGGACCGCTTCCGACTCCTCTCGAATGTGAGCATCAAGCGTTTTGTTCTTGATTTGGCGCTCAAGGAGGGTATCTTCCAAGTCTGCATGGATTCTCAACCTGAATGCCGCACCAGATTCGTAGATAATGTCGAGATATGCCAGATTCTCGATACCAATCTCCTTGTTATCTCGGCCAAGATAGGTTGTAATGTTTTCTTTCGCCGCCGTGAGACGCCTGTCGAAGTCCAGCAAAAACTCAATCTTGGTCTCTTGAATGGCCACTAGATTCTCGGGCCATCGATTCGATGCCTCGAAATAGAGGTTCACATCTATAGGCTCAATAGTACCTGTGTGGAAGCCAGGGCTTGGAGCATCAACTGAAGCATATCTAGCGGCTGGTGAAACCGGCGAAAGCTGTCTAATTTGCAGTGGCAGTTCTTCAAGGTTTCGAATATCGTATTCGAGGGTCTGGAACGCTCTTCGGGCAGTATCGAAAGCCTCCTTATCCATATGAGAGAAGGTGACAATGTTGGAGAAGCCAGCCCCAAAAGCAATAATATCTTCGCTGGCAACCTTCAAGTGTCGTTTCAAGGTGTGCGCTGCGATTTCCTCGCAGATCTGGAACGGAACTTTGCTTGACCACTCAACGCATTCAAGGATACTGCCATCCTTGAAACGACGCAGCTCGGCCTTCTCGCCCCAAAATTGTCGGAATTTGGCAGCTTCTTTTTGTTCTTCTGCTGCGGGACCATGCTCCATCTGTCTGGACATCTGGGCGAATTCGAACATGACACCAAATTGAAGCCTACCAGAACTTGAAGTTGGCGCGGAGCCCAACGACCACCCAGCTCTGGTAGGCAGTTGGAAATGCACGAGATGAGCACGAGTGCCGTAGGCCTTCGTGAGTACCTTGTGTGCTTCTAGGCTAAAGTCCCATGCAGGTCCTCTGCAGTCAGTAGAGCTATTGGACTTAGCAATATCCTTGCTCTTAATCTCAAAGATAGCATCGAATGTCTGGAGAGGAGCATCAGACTTGACAATGAATGTCGGGTCGAACTTGTCGGCAGCTTCGTCAGCGAGGAGGTCGGTGGTGGACTTGGCGTGCATTTGAAGTAGACTCGCAGACCAGGGACTCATCTTTGACAGTACATTGAGTTCTCGAATTGGGTCATACATGACAGGGCCAGCTTCTCGGACAGAGTCGGCACTTATCTTCGAGGATCCAAAAACGAAAGGCTTCTTGTTGAAATCAGTGGCCGAAAGGAACTGAACAGCAGCCTTGAAAAGTTCAGTGCTGCTAAGAGAGTTTGAAAGCGCTGCCTGCCCATTCCGTCCACCCATCTGAAGCAAGAGAGCAATCATGACAGACCACTCAAAATGACCAAATCCGCCTTGCGAGATGGAACTTCCGAAACCCCTCTGCTGCAGCCAGATTCTTCCCAATACACAGGCATCAGTCAGGGCGGGGCACTCGTTTTTGGCGTGTGTAAGAACACGCAGGTAAGAGATGAACGTCTCCTCAGCTTTCAAAGTAGAGTTATAGAAAGGAGTTCTAGCCTGGGTCTTTTTGTCGTCGGACTCTCCACTTCGGTTGTTGTTAGAGCTAGGAAGTAGCTTCGACTTGGGGAAAAGGCCATCAGGAGCGCAAGGGATGAGTCGAATAGTATACGGGGATTTCACAACCTTCCCCTTCTTCTTGGAAGCCTTCCCATTGATCTCCTTGGCATCGGTCTCCTCCTCCTCGGCCTTGGGTCGAAGTGCAAGTACAGGCAGAAGCGGGTTCTCGTTCAGGTATTCAAAGCCGATATCCATCGAGTCTCCCAACTCTTTCTTGACGTTGGCGGCGATGTAGGCGATGTAGTATGCTCGGCGGTAAAAATATCGCATACTTGTAAAGTCCTTCTCTTGGAACATAGTCTTCGGCATCTGAACTACCATATCGATGCCAAATTGCGCCTGGGACTTGACCATAGTCTTGGCGACATAGCTTCCCACGACATTATATGAACCTGGTTTCTCAAAGGAAAGCTTGTAGGGAGCATCTTTAGCAGGCTTCGGATCGGGGTAAGGAATGACGATGCGATGCTTCTTCTCAAAGCGGCTCGTGACTTCGGTGATCTAGAAAATCTGTTAGTCTTGAAGATCGGCGACTTTGCGTATAGTACGAACAGGTTCGGGTCCGTGGGGAGTCGCAGTGTCAATAGCTTCCTTCAGTCGATGAAGGTTTGCATCAACATGATTCAATGCCTTCCCATAGTCAAGTTTCGCCTCCTTGAGTAGCTCGTCTGTTTGGAGGACAAAAGTGCTAGCGGTTGAGACTCTGGCAGAGCTGCGAGCCTCAAAATCAATGAGAGCATCGTGTCTCAGACCAGATCCAGAGTGGTCTAGCTTCCGACGCTTTGAACTGGACTCCATGACGATTTAATTATGCGCCAGATGGTGGAAGGCGATTATCGACAATTTGGAGGTTCCTTGGTGTTGAAGCTGCCACTATTGACTTTGGTCCGCGCTCATGCTGTAATTTTTTTTCTGAAGCCAGGATCTGCGGGGCGATAAGAAGCTTATCGGAAACGGTACGTACTTCCACGTCTAACCAGTCTCAATCGGATCCGAGCATCATTTGATTTGGGTCAATACAATCATCCACTGTCCTCTTCTCACAAACGTTCCTCTCCTTTCCTCCGGCTCGATCGTCGCGTATTCTCCTTTTGAGAAACTCACACCATATCTTCCCTGCACATAAATTATGCAGCTACTATTGTAAAGCACATTTCCAACCGTTCAGGCGATCACACTCAAAACAACTCCTTGCTTAATTATACCCGCCAAATAGAGCACGCCTTGCAGAACGCTCAGGCTAGTCCACTCTGATACCTGATACCAGCCAACTCTCTCACCCTTTTCTTTGGTACCCCCAATCCTTCACCTTCACGATCGGTGATCGTCAAGCCATCAGTTCGAAACTGAGACATGTGAGGATTCAGGTTGGTTAACCACTCTCAACTATGTTTGCAAATTAAGAAACGCACTCTTCTGAGACAACTGTTTGATGACATGACCCGCGAAGGCGTGGGATTTCGGGTTGTTTACCATTCCAGTATAAACGCTACATTGATCAAATGAAGTCAAGGCCCTGAAAATCAACCACAACTTCAGCTCAGCTCGAGACACACGCTTGTTTATGTTTATGGTGATTGACTCCAGCCAAATCAAGACGCCAACAATGCAGCTCCTACAGTAGCTCTGCTCGTCTATGCATTAGCCTTCCAGAATGAGAACCCCTACTTGCCAAAGCGACCTAGTCGCTGCAGGTTTCTTCCGCCCTTGACGTCTTTAGCCTTTTAGACCTAGACGATTGGTCTTTGACGTAACACTGTCGTGTGTTTGTTTTGTTGTGTTTGAGTGTCTTGCCTTCTCCTTGCCTTAACCTCCATACCACTTAGCCTGAGTTGGCCTGGCAAGCCCCAGATGGCACCCACGCCAAGTTCCGTGCTTCCAGTCTCGAATCATTGCTTTTGTGGTGTTTTATGCAGTTGAAGGCACGCAGCATGTAAGGAGAGTTTGCGTTGGAGTTCTCGGAAATTGCCTCTTGTTCATCAAGAGGTGGCTATAAGAACAAGGTAACCCTGTCCATCAGGTTATGGCTTGCTCATGCAAACCATATATCTGATTGTTGAATAACTTAGATAGCTGTGGTTTCTTGTCCACTGGGCCTCGTCTCTAAGTCACGACGGGTATTTCTCCTTTTGTTAGACTATTGCCTCGCGGCGCGTCACGCTTTCCATCATAATACTGAACCTTGCCTGGGTCACTTGACGCTTCTGTCGAAGAAATTTCAGCGAGCCAGTGGAATTCAAAAATACATCCACTTGTCAAAATGGAGTCATACACAAAATCAAGACCATCTCTCACGCTTTCCTCATCAGCCATGGACCTTGACACAGATCGAAGAACACCATCGCCGGTACCCTCACTAGGCTATGATGCTCTCAGCACACCCATAGCCGAGATGCCCACGCCGCCAGCCTTTGCTTCAACGTTCTCGCTGCCCATAAATGCCGCCAAGAACATGTCCCTCGAAACCTCTGCTTCTCCAAGAATTGCAAACGACAACGACTTGCTGCCTTCTTCGCTGCCTCAGACCGAAACGTGTGGAAGCGAGAGACCAGATATGTCTTGCATGGGAGGAACTCCCGACTTTCTCCTCCTGTACTGCTTCGACTTAGACAGAGCGGTAAGCTTTTACTCGCGTTGCTTCGGCTGGAAGTTCTTTGGGGACGTGAACGCCCAACAGTCTGATGACCCATATATGAGGCAATGGGGATCTTCACACTTTGACGTGCAGCCCATGAACTTCTTCAACTCAAGCCAGAGCGGAGGATCTCGCATCACAGGAGCCTTGATGCAAGTGAGAGACACAGGAGACAGCCGCGCTCAGCTCGAATACAAGCGACAGATAGCCATGGCACGCGGTGTAACACCAGCATGCCACATCCGAGTGGCTGATCTGAGTGTTGCCGAGACGTTGGTCGAAAATAACTACGGCGAGATCAAGCAGCTGCGATACGGCGTTCGACAATGCATCATGGATATTGGGGAGTTTGTTGACCCTGAGGGGAACTTGGTCGGACTGGTATCTCTTCACCCGGAGAATGCCACTACTGCTATGTAATGTGGATTGTCAAGCTAAATGGTGAGCTCTCATGGGAAGTGGTTATTGTGGAGGATAAAGGAATACCCGGTGGTTCATTTTCATTCTTCCGCTCATGCGAGCATGTTTTAGGGAACTGCCACGATTTGCTTATCGAGCTAATGATGGTATTTGGAGTTTGGAGTTTGCGTCCAAAATATCATGGACACTTGGCGTTGTGTTGCAGAGAAGAAGGGAGGGAGTGTTGATAACCCCATGCTTCTGGCTCACCTTAGTAAGTTGGAAGTGAATTAGGTAGAGTCCATAGCCGACCTCGGATCGGAAAGCAACCGGGTCGGAAATCTAGGATATGCTCTGTAGTCACAACAATTACTACTAATACACATAATCACCAATGAATAAAACGGTGACTGAACCCCGAGATGTTCCTCTCCAAACATCAGCAAGTTTTCCTAACAAAGCTAGCTTGTCAAGGTGAAAACCCGGCCTGTTTGGTTGTCATGAGAAGCCCTGTTCCGTCATGACAAGTCAACTCCCGAAACGAATAGCCGGTAGGTTCGGAAAACCCATTACCCGCCCACTAAATTACAGCGCCAGACTGGTCTGCCCCGGACTTGAGCCCCCGCTGTTCTCTCTGTCCTGCCACTCATGATCACTTTATCCTCGGTCTCCACAGGTAGAGATCGGGGAGATCCTCCACTTCGCTTCCGGTCAAAGGTGAAGGTTCTCTTGTACGGGCACCACCCGGCAGCCGTTAGAGGAGAGCTTATGAGGGTGACCCGCCTAAATGTTCCTGTAAATGCTGTTTTGGTATCATACCGAATGCCGATTATCGCTTCCGAACTTTGGTCGCGGAATTGTATTTGAGCTTAGACGGAGGTCGATTTACGGCCAGAGCCGGCCTTAATAAACGGATATCCCCCGCCAACGGCCCGTCGATTTCTATCGCCATTGTCGGCTCAAGTTCTCTCTCATAACATCTCTTCCTTTCTTACTCTCTGGTCTGTGTCTGGAAGAAAGAGCCCTGGCGCATGAAGCTCGATTGATCGTACAAATAAGCATATACTATAGCTACTCTCCTAACCGACAGCAGGGTTGTCGACACTGAAGCTATTCCCGACCTTCTCATCCGTCCTCTCCAAACACACACATCATGTCTTCCTCAGCTTTTCGGTTACGGACCCTCCGAGCCTTTGCTCGCAATCCCACCAACGTAGGTCTCTCGGGCAACTCAATGCGCATCTCCAGTGTATACTAACAATTCTCAAGCCTAATGCCGTCCTCGCGCGATCCTTCTCGGCAACCGCTCGCCGCGCCGAGATCAACAAGGTCTTCCCCTCTGCCAAGGAAGCTCTCAAGGACATGAAGCCCAACACAACCCTTCTCTGTGGTGGTTTCGGTCTCTGCGGTGTTCCTGACTCTCTCATCAACGAGGTTCTCGAGAAGCCTGAAATCAAGGGTCTCACAGCCGTCTCCAACAATGCCGGTACCGACAACTTTGGTCTCGGCAGACTTCTCAAGACTAAGCAAATCCGCAAGATGATTGCTAGCTACATTGGCGAGAACAAGACCTTTGAAAAGATGTACCTCACTGGTGAGGTCGAGCTTGAGCTGACCCCTCAGGGAACTCTCGCTGAGCGATGTGCCGCTGGTGGTAAGGGTGTGCCCGCCTTTTACACCCCTGCTGCCTTTGGCACAGTTGTTCAGACTGGTGATCTTCCTCTGCGCAACAAGCCTGATGGTTCTCCTGATGTCTACTCTTACCCCAAGGACGTCAAGGTCTTCAAGGGAAAGTCTTACCTTCTGGAGGAGAGCATTGACGGTGACTATGCCTTCGTCAAGGCCTACAAGGCTGACAAGCTTGGTAACTGTCAATTCCGTCTCGCTGCCCACAACTTCAACGGCGCCATGGGCCGCAACGCCAAGATGACCATTGTCGAAGCTGAGCACATCGTTGAGCCCGGTGAGATTCCTCCTGAGGCTGTCCACCTGCCCGGTATCTACGTTAAGCGTGTCATTCAGAGCACGGAGGAGAAGTCGATCGAGAAGTACACCTGGGCTAAGGACCCTAACGACCCCGAGGCTACCAAGGCCCTCGGCTCTGGTGACACAGCTGCCAAGCGTGAGCGCATCGTTCGTCGTGCTGCTAAGGAGTTCAAGAACGGCATGTACGCTAACCTGGGCATTGGTATGCCTATGCTCGCCCCTGGCTTTGTCGGTCCCGAGGTCGAGGTTCAGCTCCAGTCTGAGAACGGTATCCTTGGCCTAGGCCCCTATCCTCAAAAGGGCCAGGAGGATGCTGACCTGATCAACGCTGGCAAGGAGACCGTTACTCTCAAGCCCGGTGCTGCTGTCTTCGGTAGCGAGGAGAGCTTTGGTATGATTCGCAGCGGCCGTATCAACCTCACTATCCTTGGAGCTATGCAGGTCAGTGCCACTGGTGATCTTGCCAACTGGATGCTTCCCGGAAAGGTCAAGGGCTTCGGTGGTGCCATGGATCTTGTCAGCAACCCCAGTGAGACCAAGGTTGTTGTGACAATGGAGCACACAGACAAGAAGGGCAACCCCAAGATTGTCAAGCAGTGCGCGTTCCCTCTGACTGGACGTGCTTGTGTGTCGAGAATTATTACTGAGCTGGTGAGTTTCCCCAAATCTTCATGTCATCAGTTAATGATATACTAACTCTCATCCCAGGGTGTGTTCGATGTCGACTTCGCCAACGGCCTTACCCTTATCGAGATCGCAGACGGTGTCACAGTTGACGAGGTCAAGAGCAAGACAGAGGCTCCCTTCCACGTCGCCGAGGACCTCAAGCCCATGCTATAGATGACGCAAATAAAAGAGAAGGAACGATATTACGATTGGATACCATAGCGCGCGGTCATGTGAAAAGTCTTTTGAAGAAGGATTACCCGGCTTTGAGATAACAAGGTTGCGGATTGGAAAGAGGGTCTGATGGCTGAAGCCATCACCTCAGAGGGCGGCTTCGCTTGTTCCCGTTGATACATGGAAAAACGATAAGCTTGTTCAGACGGTGTTTCCGCGACGGAGTACAGTTAAAGATTTTAAGCGACAAACAATATAAAAAAATTCAAAATAACCCAATGAGAGACTACATGTGCCATACTTGATTATTTTTCTTTGGTTTATGCACAAAGTCGGCTCATCAACTATAGGTAGGTAGCTCCTTCTTGTCGGTGTTAGAGGTAGTGAAACGCACCTCAGGGAGAAAGAAAACTTCTAATATTAAATCAGGGTGCCAAAATAAACTAGTCTAAAGGCTTACTAAGATATACTAAACTTACCTAGGTCTTTTTATCACTTAAAAAAGTTATCCTAAGTTTTCCTGCCTCCCCTTGACGCAGTCTCAATTCAGTCAGCACTTCAACAACCAAAACTTGGCCTTTTTCTCATAACTTCATATATGATCCCATTGTAAGCTTATACGATTCCGACATAAATCCGAATAATTTTTATTTCCAAGTTTCTATTGTATGGTTTTTCTCTCAAGTCAGCCATGTTCGAAGATGCTGGTCCAGCGTTCAGGGAATATCTCATGACCCGGGAGGCTCTTACGGCTGAGAGCAATGCAGACTGGAGCCGGCGTCGTCCATACCCTTCCTTCAAGCCTCGAGGCACAAGGGGACCTCGATCTTTGGTGGACATAGCTATCAGTGTTGTTGGCGATAATTTCGGCAAGATTCGCTCTATTACCCATCTTGAGTCATTGCCAAAAGTCATACTATGGCGCATTTGGAGGTATCTCGAGGCAAGGTCAGTACATCCAAGATAAAAGTGCTATCACCAGCATTGTGTTTATCCCCCATTTTACCCATGCCATTGTTCAATACCAAGAAGTCCTCGGTCCTTCATCTTCTTTCTTATTCTTATTCTTATTCTTACCCACCTTCTAAGAATTATGCAATAAACACTTCTCACCCAGCGCATTAACATCAACAGCCTGGTAACCTGCGGATGGCACGGAAAACATCTAGAGATCTGCGACTGATACTGATACTGAAGTAGAGGAGTGTCTCTCCATGCTTGGAGGTACCTCTCCAAACTCCTTATGGATGGAGGAGACGACAAGAATCTTGGCCTGTACCGCTTTCGACAGCACATATGCCATCCTGGCAACGATCTCACTCGCTACACTCAACCTCTAACAGCACCGCCCTCAGACTTCATAACACACATAGTCATCGCTGGCGGTTGCACCTTCAATACCCATGACCTTCTAGGTCTGGCCGACATGCCTAACCTCGGTGTCCTCGAGATAATCCAGCCAACAGAGCGGACTGCGTTCCCAAATATTTCGGACCGTCTTGTCCGGGGATGGTCTGAGAAACCTGATCCATTCCCCTTGCTTCGAGTATTGCGAATATGGGGAGATGAGACGACATCCAAAGCATCTCTACAATGGGTGTCAAAATTCCCTTCTCTTGCCATGTACGACGTAATTGGTGCAAGGGACTCGTGGGACGCCAGTAAGGTGGCAGCGCAAGAACATGGGTGGGAGCAGGCAGATGCACCGCCACATAGGTTGGACGACTCACTGTTACGGTATCTCATGCTCTTTGTGCCGCTAGAGGAAACCCGTGACAGAAATCTGCGTGACCTCGCTGCAAGTATCGATAATGACTTGGTGTCGTTGTGCAGCGACTCACGATGCGCTGTTAAATTCGTTCAGGATCGTCAGGCACCACTTCTTCTTAACTACCTCTGCGATACTGCAAAGGAGAATACGCCTTGGTGGGATACTGATGCTGCATCTCGAGAAGCTCGCACATGCCATGGGGTTGCATTTGAGGCTTGGGCATTTTGGCTTTACTCCTTTCTCGGTCAACTTTGTTCTGATCAAGATTTGGAAGCCCGTGGGGCGCTCCCCTACACCTACAAGGCTGTAGCAGGTCCCTTCATTCTCCCCTCACGGCCTATTGCATGTCTTCACTTGGGTCACACTTCCCAACGTGGTGGTATTGATACGAGACCATCATATATTAGCCGGGGGCTATTCGCAACACGACAATTCACGTTTACACGAAAATCTGTGATTCAAACGTCCAATGGGAAGAAGCCAGCTACAATACCGAAGAAAGGAGTCAACTTAGTGTGTTCAGAGAGGTCCGCACCTATGCTGGCAACAAGGAAGGCAAAGAGAAAACGTGTTGTTGATGTTTTGGAGGATATGGGCCTGGGGCGTTAGAACAACATGACATATAAGTCTCTCTCATATTAATATTATGGTATCTTAACCTAAGTTTTGGTCTGGCTTCTCTAAGCTTTATATATTTTAGTATCTTATGCCAAATTTAGTCTGGCTTCTCTAAGCTTTATCATAATCTTATTTGTCTTATTAAAACTTAGAGTACGCTTCAGCTATTCATTTCATGTATTAGGTTTTACTACGATGCGCTCATTAAGTAACAACGATTAACTTCCCTCTTGCTTTTCCGCCCCTGAATGCATAATGGTTGATGATGTTCTGGGTGGACGTGATTCATTGATAGTCTGGAACACTGGCCGATGAACAAACTCCTTTTTTTGTGTCAAAGTACAGCGAACCATGTTCTGCCGTAACAAAGCGACAGTTTTGAGGTATATACAAGGAGACACTTTCTCAACGTCCTCTGTAAGTTTAGTAGAATTACTCAAACTCGTAAAATCAAATCATACGTACCTCTTTGTTGACTCCCATAAGTCTTCCATGGTCTCGCAACCCTATATATTCCCTTGCTCGTCTCTTCGAGATGGGCTTTTCCTGTAAAGTTCACATTTTGTACCTCAAAATCTCAACTGCCAGTCCCTGGGTATAAACATCCATACACTCACTTTACCATTGAAGATACAACACTAGAAGTGCCGTTTTCTGTAGAGAGCAGAAATGCCGGACTCTAACATGACCAGTCATGATGGCTCAGCATCATGCTTCGCTTTCCCTGACCCCCTCACCGCTCTAACTTTCTTCAACAGCGATCTGACGGACTCTGTTCTACTGAGTGATGAGGGCTTCATCAGTGACGATGATGATCCTGACGATGAGTTCTCCGTCCCTTTGACCTATTTGATAACATTTCCTGTTGAGCGATTTCTTTCACCGCTGCCCGAGTCTAGGAGTACCAGCACGTCGTCGATGAGCCCAGAACCCAATTGTAGCTCACAGTACGGTCTATCTGAAAGCGACCCAGATATCGGCAACACAGAAACCCAAATGAAGTACCCCGATCATGACTGCTTGTCCTCAGGCTCCTCTAGTTCCAGTTCTGAAAGCGATGACGACTCTGACATCCTCGCGTCCTCTCGTCGTTGTTTCCAGGAGGGCAATAGCCCAAATAAGCCACTCAGAACCCAGACGATTGTGTCACCAACACCAAGACTCAACACGGAAACATTTTCCGAGCCTGACTCAGATCTGCCGTTGTATCATGTGCACCAACTTGACTGGAATCATCCGGTCCATGTTGGTAAGCTCCGCAAGCGCAGCGACCAACATAACAGGGAGATCAAAGCACTCGTTTGGGACACGTACCACATATTCAGACCGACGGATATCCCTGGGAGCTCTCGGTATAGAACAGAGCTGAAGGACTGGCGAAGACTACGCCGAGAATATATCATGAACAAACCAACTGCTCGGCAGCAAGCGCGGAGTCAACGGCTTCTACTAGCGTTGTCGGATCTGATTAAGAAAAGAAATAGCTTCTTTGGCAAGAGACCCTAAGGAGCAGACAGATGTAAGTATTGCAAAACACGAAACGTGTAAAAAATACTTGATGGCCCAACGTGAGAAAGGTTTGGAGGCGTGGCTTCCGTGAGAAACCGCTGTCTGTTGGTTATTCTAACGTATATACCGAGATAGGTTGACATTGGCATCGCAACCTCAAAGAAAGGGGATATATTCAGTGTCAAACATCCAATATCAACGAAAACCAGCGTCGAGCTGATTATCAATGGATCCATGCATCATATGACGAGTCAATGTGAAGAGTGGGTGTAAAGAGTAGCCTACCCTACAGAGACATCAGAATGTCGACATTTCTCGAAATTTTCATGGTAAAATGCATGATTGATCTGCAAAACAGATGTCAATCATATTTTCATCGACGAACTCCAAAACGAAGAGCGGGTGCAGGGAAAGAGTTTTAGGAGTTTACCCAAGGTAGGTTTAGATTTTCAAGGTTTGCGGATTTTAGGGAGAGATACCACTGCAGCATTTACCCTTCGCTGAGAGTCTATGGTCACTTTAGAATGAGGATAGCATGGCGCAAGCATATGAAGCTACAAGTATGCCTGACAAGTGATGAAGCAAGCCATCCATGCTCTCGCATATCCAGACTCACCTCAATCGTGATTTCACATCTCAAAAGATATGGAAGAAAAGTATGTACCGCGTCAAAATTTCTCTCTCCCAACGCAGCAAAAGCTACAAGCAGAACAGAGGGTAAGTGTCAGCGATAATTCATCTTTCCTCCAGTTTCCCCTCCAAGTACCTCCATGGTGTAATGAAAGCCAGAGTGAATTTGAAGGATTCAGTTTTTTCTAGTAGGTTGAAGAAGAAAGGAAAAAAAGAGGTAAAATCGCGGCTCACTCGATGTGGTTTTGTTTACCTGAGTGGGGCGCCAAAAGCGGGAATGGAAGATTGATGTGCCGAGCAGGTACAGCATGCTTGTGTAAGTACCTAGGGTCCATCCATCTCATGAAAGTGCCTGAGAACTGGGTCTTCAGAATTGGATACCCGGGAAGCAGGAGTCATTCTTAAAGTTTGGTGAATGAATTTTTAACTCAATAGAACCGAAACTAAAATCTTGGATGATTGTTTCTGCCTGGGATCAAAGGATGAGTCAAGATGTCAATACAAATCAGAGCTTCGTGTCGCGTGCACGACAGACGAGCAATTCATGCATACCCGTTGCAAACTCACTTTGTTGGCGGCATGAAACACGCCCCTCAGTGAGCTGATCAAAACACGACAAACAGGGGGTCTCTTATTCGTTCAGTTATTCCAGCGCCCAGATGCCCAGCTTGTTCCTGAAAGTCTCCAACAACTGTTAACAAAATTCGCTGAATCACAGTGTAAGCTGCACTTGGACTTGATGTAGTGAATCATTGGGGGTTCGATAGGGATATCGTTATTTTATTTTAAGCTTGGAAGTATTGTACATTGGACACGTCAGGACTGAGTCATACCAGGTCTTGCTTTTCTGCGTTCTGCTCGAGTTAATCAGGCTCCTGTGCGACGTAAAAAGTCTCTTATTAGCCTTGATCTATACGCATATCACTTTCATCATTCACTTTGATAAACTTCTGAGTAAAAAAAGTGGTTTCTATTTTGACTCATATTCCACCTGCAGCGATTTGCAATTCGACTTGCAATCATATATAAGAGAAGCAACGTCACTCAAAAGTTCCTGATCTACAATCCCTCACTCCATCTCATGCTTGTTCGTTTATCAGAGCTGCCGTCATTAGCTACCCCGCTACCCCGCCCTGCTGAACAAGTTTGACCAGCAAACAAACGTTCATTCAAGAGACGGCGTGATAATCGACAACACAGAATATCCCGACCCAAACGATTTGAACAAGTCATAACACAGAAGCCTCGAGATAGACTTCTGCCCCCCCAAAAAGCTCACCTCCCTCATACCTATTTTATCATAGCTTACCCATCATGGCTCCTGGTGGTCCCCCTGGAGGAGGCTCGCGTGGCCGAGGAGGAAAGTTTCGAAAGCCCGCACGAGGAGGTATGTTGACCACGAGCCCACGCCCAACGCCCGGACTGACAAATTCCCAGGTGGCAAGAAGTTTTCTCGCGATATCCGACCTCTCGATGCCGATGGAAACGAGGTTAGCATGTGGGCTGTCGACCCAGACAAGAAGGACGACGACAGCGATGAAGAAGAGTCTTCCGAGGAGGAATCTTCTGAAGAGGAAGAGGACAGCGAGGAAGACTCTGGTGCTGGCCCTTCTCAAGAACAAACCCAAGAGCAGTCACGCGAGGCTCGAAAGGCCGAGAAGAAAGCTCGAAAGGAGGCTGCCATAGCCAGGCAGAAGGCCAAGACAGTCGAAGTTGGCGATCTGCCATCAAGCGACGAGGACGAGAGCGAAAGCGAAGAGGATGACGATATGCCCGCAAACCCCAATCACTCGAAGAAGGCTCGCAAACAAGCGGCGTCCTCTGGTGTCGACGAGATCACAGATGGTGTCGAGAACCTGCAAGCAGCACCAAGCCGACGCGAGCGTGAAGCTCTCGAGGCTGCAGCTGCTAAGGAGAGACACATGCGCTTGACAGCTCAGGGCAAGACGGACGAGTCTCGGGCCGATCTGGAGCGTCTCAAGGAGATCCGCGAGCGACGTGCTCTTGACGCCGCGCGGAGACAAGTGAGTTACCCACATACCCGGTATTCTGTCTGCAGGATGGACTTACTAATATAATATCAGGCTGAGCGTGAAGAAAGAGAGGAGCAAGAAAAGATCAAGAAGGCCGAGTTCGAGGCCAAGGAGGCCCGTCGGCGAGAAGCTGCCGCTGGAAAGAAGGGCAAGAAGAAATAAAGGCCACTGAGAACATGACATACGAATTCTCATGAAAGCATTTGATTTGGTTATTGCTTAGGTATTATCTAGACTCAACTTGTTCAAAACATTGAACAGAAAGGCGTAAAGTGACACAAGTCTAAACCTGTTTCCTAGCTCATGTTCTAAGTCTCTCACATGAGGTGTTGAGAACGACCTACTAGCTACAATAAGTTAATCTCACCATAGTATGAATATACGAGAGATTAGCATAAAAATAGGACGGTACAGACTTCGATGATAAGTGAAGATATATGGCACTTTGATTACTTGTGGCGATCATCGAATTCCATCCAGATTTCAGCCAGGTTTGGCCTAAAGTTCCAATGATTCTGGCGTAGCAGACCCATAGCACAGACACCTATGACCATCAGAAGGGAGCCGAGTAAGTGGTGACTGTATTTTAGTGACACAAAATTTGGTTGAAGTCATTAGCAATCCTTTTGAATTCACACCCACGACGTAAGTGTCTTGGCCTCAAGCCATCTACGAAAAGCCATAGGGCCCTGGTTTTCAGCATTAGCCATGCTGCCTGGATTACTCATAAAATCAGGAGTAACAGAGCGTATAAGTGCACCTCCATGAAGGGTTTTCAAACTTAAAATCTCCTTGGTCATGATATGATTTGCGATTTATTCATACAATTGCTTCATGAGGCTCAGAGGACCCTGAATATGGCGTTGGTACGTACCTCGGCCTAAATGCGCTAAGTGCAGGGGGTGGATCGACCGTCCTCAATGGGCCTTCCCCACACAAAGCCGGTCATTCTTTAGCGGGCACCTCAGGAAAAAAAATTACAACGATCCTCCCCGAAAAAACTGAGGCAGCAAATCGCCATCCGAGCTTTCTTTTCCAACCTCTTTTTTATTATCGAGAGCATTTCATCATCACGACTCTCCATAGCTGGCTTCCTCTAATACTGGAGACTTCACGGTATAACAGATATACAACCCTTTCAATCACCAGTTAATATGGCAGAGTCTTCGCTGCAGGTCCGTTCTTCCAAACGCCCTCCAGCCCCGCCTGTGATGGGACAAACCTTCGATTCATGGCGATAGGGAACCCTGAAGCTGACTGTTTGCGCTTTAGGATCGCCTGCGCGACCAAGGCGGAGCCTTCGATGGCCTCCTGAGCCTCATCCCAGCCAAGATGTACTATGGTGAAGACAACAGTGTATGTGAATCCAATGGCTTGCCAAGCAAAGGCCAACCTCATCCCCGCCTGGAACAACACATTACATGCCTCATAATATATCATATGCATCGCAATCAATCGGAATGAGGCTAACACAAATGTAGGATCAATGGAGCAAGAAGAAGCAGACAAAACAAGAGGCTGCCGCTGCCCGACGCGGAAAGCTGGATCCCGACAGCGAGCGGAATCGAAATGCCAAGGAAGTCATGGATGAACGAGCCAAGAACAAGCGAAAGCTGCGTGAGATGGAGCAACATGACGATACTGATAACGAAGATGATTGGGAAGACTACGAGCCTGTCCCTGGCGTAGAGACCGAGAAGCCTGGCGAGGGGCTCAAGGCCAAGACAACGGAGACCAACAAGAAGCAGAAGCTCAACGACAAGACAGAGACAGAGGCTAAGGACACAATTGAGACATCTTCTTCTAAGACGTCGAAAAAGGAAGAGAAGAGGGCGGCTAAGAAGGAAAAGAAGAAGGAGAAGAAGGCTGAGAAGAAGGCCAACAAGACAGAGACTCCTGAAGCCGAGAACAAGGATGTACCGACTCCGACACCAAAGGCTCAGAAGCAAGCCAAGGCCCTTGCTGACAAAGCCCAGAAGCAAAAGGAAGTTAAGGAGGAGGAAGAGACAACAGCCCACGGTGACGGTGAGGTTTTACCTATGGACATCTCGGGTCTGGAGAACGAGGACGAGGCCAGCGCCAACTCAAGTCACGAATCCGAGCCACAATCTCCTACCTTTGACACCAACGATTCTACGACAACACCCGCGGAGACAACCGCCGAGCCTGCCAGCACTACTACCTCCACCTCATCCACTATCCCTCCTTCAGAGAAACCCAAGTCTATCAAGCTCCCTGCCGACACCTCTGCTATCCGAGCACGTCTCGCTGCCAAAATTGAAGCGCTTCGTGCCGCCCGAAAAGCTGACGGACCTGATGGCAAGCCAATTCGTACACGCCAAGAGCTCATTGAGTCGAGAAGAAAGAAGCAAGAGGCTCGGAAAGCTCACAAGCAGGAGATGCGCAAGCAGGCTAAGCTGGAGGAGCAACGAAAGCGTGAGGAGGCTTTAGCATCTAGCTCACCAGGTGTTATGAGCCCCGCGGTTGAACTCGACGAAAATGCTAGCAACTTCACATTTGGCCGTGTCGCTTTTGGCGATGGTGCTCAGCTCTCACGCGATCTCGGCCACGTGCTGAGCCAAGGCAAGAAGAAGGGGCCCTCTGACCCCAAGACAGCCCTCATCAAGGTCCAAAACCAGAAAAAGCGTCTTCAGGAGCTTGATCCCGAGAAGCGTGCTGATATCGCCGAGAAAGACATCTGGCTGACAGCCCGTCGCCGTGCCGAGGGTGAGAAGATCCGCGACGATGAGGCTCTCTTGAAGCGTGCCGTGAAGCGAAAGGAGGCCGCCAAGAAGAAGAGTGAGAAGGCCTGGCGCGAACGATCTGACGGCGTCAAAATGGCTCAGAAAGACCGTCAACGCAAACGTGAGGATAACTTGCGCCAGAGACGGGATGATAAGCTGCTCGGTAAGGCAGGCAAGAAGAAGAAGAAGGGTGGAGCTGCCGGAGGCAAGAAGAAGAGTCGTCCTGGTTTCGAGGGAAGCTTGGGCGTTGGGGGCAAGAAGAAGTAAACCGAAGAAATTATGACGCGGCGAGGGCGAGGTGGAAGATGAAGAGAAAGGCTGGTTGAGTTTTTACCCTTCGATTTATTCAAGATACACGGCGCTGGCGGAGTTATGGTCGGCAAAAAGGAGAGGAGCATGAAAAACATCTTCAGGACTCAGCTCGGCGATGCATGTACTACCTTAGTTGATATAATCCATCACTATACGAAAGCAGAGAGCGTGTCTCGAAGGTGCTGTCAAGCCAGTTCAAGCCCAAAGTCCTAGTAGTACAAGTCCCCATGATGTCTTATCAAAAGTTCCAGTATCTTTGCGTTGAGTGTGTAGATCCAGGCCGTTCATTCATACTTAAACTATTTCAAGTCTAACATCACCAGATGTAAGAGCAAATATCTCAAGACCCTAAGTTTTCATAATAGACAAACGCCCTTGCAAGGTGTCTTAAAGTTGTCTGTAACATTTTCTTTTTCATTACAATGGAGATACCAGACCCAAGTCGACGACAAAACAACAACGGCTACCCTTTCACACACCGAACGACCTATGGATTTCGCCTCCTTTCCCTAGCCTTCCAAGAAACACATCGACAGAACACACACACATACACAACAAAGCCATGGTCAGAGTCAGAGTCAGAGTCATAATCATCCCGTCCACCTCCTTTTTTGTTTCCCAAAAGTAAAAAGGACGAATAGATAAGCCCCGACAAAAATAAAAAGGACATTAAAAGAAGAAGTTTGGGTGGGTTATGGAGTGAGTGCAACCACCAACACCACTTGTTCAAGCGCCCAACAAAAATAATACTTTGCGCTGAGTTAATCGATTGGCCAAGCTCCAAGCTCTTCATGTCTTAAACCCAACTGCAACCCAGTTCAATTGAGCAGCAGGCAAGTCCCAATTCCCTGGAGTTGCTCCATATAGTAGCGGTGGTGTGTAAAGACTCGTTCTAGTTTCATTTGGGCGAAGGGAGTCATGAGACTGTTGTCGTCAAAGTCATTTCGTGAGAATGGGTTTATGAGGGATTAGGATCGGATAGTTGGAACAGAAGATTTCGAGGGAGAGAGCTTGGCCTGGTTGGGAGCTGGGTAGTTGAACGAAGGTGTAGCCAAACGTCACGTTCGGCAGTGGTGGACACGCATGAAGCTTGCACGAGTACGTCTATAGGAGAGAGTCGAGTCTAGTGAAGACACTCAAGCAAGCTGCAACCACCTCGAGCTGGAGCTCCTTGTCCTTGCCGCTGTTGACCTCCTGTAGCTACTGTCAGTTATGGAAATCTCGCATGCATTATACACTACCCACCTCGTTAATAAGTTGAGGCAAGTTGGCACCGATGCCGTTCTGTGTGGCCTTCTTGCCGAATGGCCATTGGCTGTAGTCGGCGAGTAAATCATCGGTCTGCGCAAACGCCCGTTCCCTTGCCTCGTGGCCAAGGGATGCGAGGGCGTTCTCGAGGACGTTAGCAGCGTAGGCGGCGCAAACCATGGCGATGCTGCGCATGTAACGGAATTCGAGCGACTCGGGTAGGAATTGGCTACCATTGAGGACGACGGTCCGTTGGGTAAGGATGTTGCGAACCCGGCGGCGGATCTCCTCCTTAGCACCACCATCGGCGACGGGATGAGTTGCCATGTCGAAAAGGAGGAAATTGCGCTTCTCGGTGCGGAGGATGCCCTTGTCGACCAGGCCCTTTGCGAGTCGTTCTCGAACCTGCTTGAGCTGGTATCCGATCTTCATCAAGTTCCAGGTCTCGCCTGTCATTCGCAAGGCAGTCAGCGACGGTTGCTTGGGTATTGGGAGAATGGTGGGTAGGGTAATTTACCGCTCATCAAGTCAATCCAGGTTGCGACGCTCATCTTTTCGCTCTGCTTCATCATCTTGAGAGCCTCGTCGAGAAGAACCTCGCCAGTAAGGGTGTCGTCTATGACCTCGATGTTGCGGTCTGCGAGGGGGAATCGGCGTCTTGAAGCATCCTTCTCCATTGCAATGCGACCACGGAAGGCCAGTTCGATGACAATGCATCCTCGAAGGGCGTAAGAGATGTTGTCATTCCAAAAAGAGAGGTAGCCCTGTGAGCATTTGAGAGTCAGAGGTGTTGTTCCCTTGAGCACAAAGGGCACGTGTATGAGCACGAGTGGCAGCCTACCTGCTTATCCTTGAGGCCAAGTAGCAAGACCTCCTCCATGAGGGTGAGCTTTGGCTGCTTGCTTCTCTCAGCGCTCTCACTGATGTCGCGAGGGTCGAATGCGATCTTGTGGCCATTTTCTGTGCTTTCGTAGCTCGTCTCGGGTCCGTTGTCCCTGGCGCTTGGTGTGCTCGTTCTAGGAGCAGTGCCGTTGCTGGAGTCGCCCTCAGCCGCAGGTCCTGCGCCGCCCGCACCGCGGCGTCGCGTCAATCCCGAGGACATTTCGAGTAGGTAGAGATAACTAGTTTTGGTGCTGAGAGGGAAAAGACGGAAGCGGAGGAGAGGGAGCGACAGCAAAGTCGTTTTTTGGGGTCGAGATGAGGTTGAAGGGGTAGTTTGATGGATGTCCTGTCCTGGAACTTTGATTGACTGGGCTGAGCCTGAACGGGGCTAGTTGCGCGTTCAGATTTAGGGGTTTGGGACTGGGGCCCACGGGCTACTCTTGATAAGTGAATGAGCTCCCAAGTTACAGGCGTCTCATTAGCTGTTAGAACCAATAGATCGCTGAGTCGTTGGGGGACGGAATTTCCTTGCATAGGGGTATAGGCCGAAATATTGATGCTATCGATCTGGACTGATTCTCCCTTTTTTCTTTTTAGTTGACTTTTTGATTTTAAAATGAAGGCCCAATGCCAGAAGACAATGATAATTGACCTGGCTCCTTTTGCTTCAGAAGCTAAAGCAGGGGGTCTGGATGCGATGTGTTGGGTTGGGAGTTGACCATCCATCAGCCGACGATGATCCGTCTTGTGAGGCAGTGAGTGACTCGGACACATGAACGAAAAGCAACAAACAAATACTAGAGATTAGGGTAAAAGACACCATAACGACTCTCTACACAAAATACTTCACAAATAACAATTGGTTTCTGAGGATTGGTTTAATTAAGTATACGAGAAAGAGGAATGAATCTCTCCCACCTCGGTAAGGTTAGAGGTATGAAAGGTAACTTATACGAGGTCTCTAAAGTGTAAGGGGAAAGAACCTCGTAGTTGTGTCATTCTCTAACGAGTACCATCCAATAGTTATTCTGTGATAGTAGGCTTCAATAACAACTCCCTTTCACTATAATATTTTCTGTTTACGAGATTGAGGGGAAAAGCACCTTCAAGAATCGCATGAAAGGATGCCTAAAGGGTCGACCCAGCTTACACGACCAACCATAAGCTTGAGAGGCTTCCTGGTGGTTGTCCAACCAAACAACAAACAGCTCATCGATAATCCAGCAAGGATGATATTTTCAGTCAGCATTCCCCATACTATATATATTGGCTTTGTTATTGGGATGTGACCAATAAAACTCCTGTTCTGAAGCCAACTTCCTTCCTCTGTTTCCAATGCACCTTTCTCTTCTATCGTCCAATTCTTCCTTTTGAGGCTCTATAGCAAGTATAGAGACCTGTTTCACCGCTTTATGTCCGGTCCCGTCCTGTTGCACTCCTACTCTGCTAGGATTCTCCGCACGTGAAACCGTGGAAGTCCACCTCGAGCACTAACATGTGGTGGCGTTAGTCAGCCAGACACGACACGTAACTCCACCACACACTTCAACTACACTTTATCCTGTCATCTAACAATACCCTTGGCTTTCGATGACTACCGCTACATGGACAAGAAGCTCAATAGAGGCCGCGCATCCTCAATCATGCACTCAAAAAAGGCACAGATGTTCCCCCCAGCTCTCATTCCCATTCATGACAGACTCGGACGCAACTCATCAACTCCAAATTAGGCAGCGGCGAAAATCTCTTTATTTAACGACCATACACGACTGGTATATAATCGCGATATTTCACAGACTACAAACCTACACCAGAATCTCACGATTGTGTTGGTCAACTGTCGCTCTTGGTTACCCTCACAGCCGACCCCTGAAGTCAGGGGTGCTTGGATATCTCTATATGGACGAAGATCGGTTCGCATGCCATGCGCTTGTGTTACTCTGTTCAACAGTTTAACCAGACGGAATTACTTGTGGCTGTCAACTATGCAAGCATTGCAATAAAGTTGAACCGCATCGACCTTGCGAGCGGATATTGCACAACCGGCCTTTGGCATATATATCAAAATGATTGTTGGTTGATGAGTTGGCTCACTACCACCAAACTTTGATATGATCCACGAGGACGCAAATATGCTTTCCCCTTTGAGCATGTGACGCATTCACTGCGGGGCCATGCATATTGCTGGCCGGTGTGGTGATTTTGACTTTGCATTCACCACAGTGGAAGCTCAGCGTGAATCAGCCAGCTGCCTGCCAGCTGCACCCCGCGCCCACCACCGTTACCGCAGCCCATGCCTTCATTAACAATCACAACAGAGTCTCTGTCAACAAGCGGGGGGCCTCTGGGGGTGACATGGCGGAGTGGTTCATCCCAGGAGTTCTGGGCAGCGGCGCTGCCCAGAGCTTCTGAGTTCGAATCACAGCCGTCATGCCACCTTACAAACCCCCCTCAGAGACTCTGTATGGCCCCTGGCCCCCCTAGGATGGGGACGCCTGTACTAGGGAAGCGACGAGGCCATAAGTGTGAGCAAAGAAAATACCCAGGCGAAAGCAGGGCGCGCAGTAGATCCACCGCTTAGAGAGTGGATGCTGGGCGTGTAAGTAAGTATGTAAGTAGTTAATATTTAATAATAGTAATAATTCTTTTTAACTACTTTGTTTATACTTTTAGATTTTTCATTGAAGAGTAAGTGGTTTTATGTAAATAAATAATAATATAAAATATTATAGATAATATCTCCTTTAAAAATTATATCCCAACACTCTTCTTCCAAAGTTCATCGAAGTCAATATTCTCATTTTCAAACAACTCCCTAATTCTCTTGGCCGCTGCCTCTTGCTCCTTAGGACCGAATCCGCCCGGCTGTGTCGCTTCGAATTGAACAATCTCAACCCAGCGATAGAACAAGTCCTCCTTTCCAAGCGCAATGAGCACGTCTCGAAATGCAAAGACTTGTCGCCGTCGCTCATCCTCACTTGACGCACCACTACCGCGCACATCGTAAGATATCCAACCGTAGTCAGCGTGGTGGACAAGAACCACGCTCTTGAAGGCCTCAAGTGCAATCTCCTTCTTATCCACCAGGCGGTGTGCGAGTATCATACGTGCCCAATCCAAATCCCAGTGGCCATTCATCAGGAGATATCCGGTCTTTTGCTCCTGAAGAATAGGAGACGTCGCATGATTGATGTACGTGAGCAGAATCTTCTTGGAGCCTTCGTCCGTAAAGATGTCCGTGAGAGCTTGATCCCATTCTCGGCTTCGACGGACATAAATCTCCTGCTCGCGGAAGCCGACTTGCCATCGCCATTGACAGGGATTACCACGGGCTTGTCCAGCGACAAATTCCACAGGCCAGGGCCAGACAAAGATGAACAGGATAAAATCAATCATCATCGTCCCAGAGCGTTTTCCGATCTCCCAGGCAATCTCAGACCACGTTGAGTCTGCAGTGTTCCAGGTGGTTTCGTTATCGTGGCCCAAACCAGTCATGATGAGGGACCAATACCAGGGGAGAATCCACCACATCCGAAGAACAAAGAGAAGTACAACGACAATGTTCATGCCAACAGGCACGAGGAAGATCTTTCGTTTGAATTCGGCGGGTTTGTTATCAACATGTGTGACATAGACGTGCTTCTTGTCCAGAGCGTTGATGAACGGCTCAAGGACCTCAGGGGGCCGCTTGAAAGGTGAAGGGGGAGCCTCATTCTTTTTGTCGACGAACTGGGTCGATTTCTGTTTCCCTCCTCTCTTATTCGGTGTCATTTTTTATGAGATTTGGCTTGCTGATCACTGAGTTTTGGTGGGAAAAAAAAGGGTGATATTAGATATTGTCGTAAGGTATATGTAGGCAGGAGGTGTAAGTTGGAAATGTGTTCTCGAAGAATGAGTAGAAATCATGTTCGAATCTTGGTTCCACAAAAGATCCATTGGCTGGATACGTCCATAGACATAGCGTTTATTATTTCAAAATATGTCTGATGTAATAACTACCTTACCGAAAGGAATGACCAAAAAGAGTTTTAGCGGTTTCATAGAGTAACTCCCAGTTTACTCTCCTAGACTATCTAAATTTTTGAATTCAATATCATCATCTTGGCTCACTAATTGAAGCTCAGAGATAGGCCGACTGGGCCAAATGACGTCCATCCATTGTCCTCTAACTGTGGCGGACAATCCCGGCGCCGAGGGTGCCCAGAGCGATTGGATGCCCACTGTGGTTAACTAGAACTCCACTAAGTTTGGATTTCTATTCTAGACTAACTTATAGCACCTTCAACTTATTCGGTTGCAAAGCCAATGTCGAAGCAGATTCGCTCCAAATCTGCCAATTCCCCATCGCGGCAATGTTGAGAGTGCGCACCTCACAGGTTAGTTCTTGACCATCGGTCACTATTAGCAAACGTCTTACACAATATCCAGGAGCGCGGTAATTCCTACGTATGTGCCTTCTGCCGTCACAAACTCTCGCCCAGGGATTCGCAGCCCAGAGATCGCCATGTATCCAGCGTCGGAGCCCCAATAACATCAGTTAGAGCCATTCGGCCATCTTCGTGTCACTATCTACGATTACCTGGTGTGCGCGCCTTGTCGACGAGCTCTATACTTCACGGACCGAACGATAATGGCAAGCCGGGAGGCTTCCCGGGGAGTGGTTTTCCTGGCGGGTTCGGAGCTGGATTAGGGTCTTTCGGAGCATTTGCGAACAAGCCGTCACCAGATGCTTCGAAGCAAAGCGTTGACTTGCTTCCTCATGAGCTAGAAGCTCGTAAAAAGATGGGATTGCCTTTGAAGAAACCTACTCCCAATGTTAAGGCTGCCCCCACCCCGCCATCTGCACAAAGCAACATCAAGAAGCCACCAGGCCTCCAGAACGCAAATCAAAATCAAAGCCAGAAGAAAAATACACCTCAAGCGAGAGTCAACCAGCAACCAAACCGATCGAACGACGGAAACAACCATGCCAGACAACAGCAACAGCGGGACGCAAAGCCAACAACGCCCCCATCGAACCTGTTGTCAAGCTCAATTCTTGCTGAAGCTTTCAGGACAGATCGCACACCGGCTCCAGTGGCAACGCCCAAGTCATGGTCTACTAATGAGTCTCCCAAGCCGGCTGCACCCCCTTGGGGAGCTTTCAGCGCTCGAAAGGTTGATACTCATATACCCCTCATCAGTAGACAAACGGAGGCGAAACCTGCAGAGAATCAAAACAAGAACAAACCGCAAAACGTCGCACCAGCAACAGGCCAGGAAGATGATGAGAGCGTATGGGGCCAGCTTAAGCGCTCCCGCAAGCTGAAAGAAAAACCAGGCCGCGAGAATGATGGTTTCTGGGACGCACTTGAAAGTCGGGTCACAAATATTCGTAGCAGACCTGGCCCCAGCGACCAATACAAGGATGCGCTTCAGGGGGCGGATGGCATGTTACAAGATTCTCAGCAGTCGCAGGAAGACCAGATAAGGCGCAAGTCACGTTTCGAGATGGAGGAAGACGATGTGTTTGATAGGCGGAGAGACAAGAAGGACAAGCGCCCCAAGAATGTTCGTCGGAACGAGGCCGAAGATGATGACTTTGATGAAGATTCAATTCGACGCTGGGAAGCTAGACAGCGTAAGAAGGCCGAGAGAGATGCAAGAAAACGCCTTGAGGAAGCTGCAGAGGCTGCTCCCGTACCCATCTTTCTCCCCGAGTACATTAGCATCTCCAACTTGGCCGGTGCTCTCCAGATCCGTATAACCGACTTTTTACATGATCTGGAGTCCATGGGATTTGAGGATCTCTCGGAGGAAACCATCATGACTGGTGATACGGCAGCCCTTGTCGCTCAGGAGTACGGCTATGATCCCACAGTGGACACTGGTTCTCAGCGCGACCTCCAGCCTCGACCGGCGCCCGAAGATCCATCCCTATTGCCAAGCAGGCCTCCTGTTGTCACCATTATGGGCCACGTCGATCACGGAAAGACTACTCTTTTGGATTGGCTACGTAAGTCTTCGATTGCTGCCCAGGAGCACGGTGGCATCACACAACACATCGGTGCCTTTGTCGTACAAATGTCGTCAGGCAAACAGATTACCTTCCTTGATACACCAGGTCACGCTGCGTTCTTGTCTATGCGTCAGCGAGGCGCCAATGTCACAGATATTGTAGTGCTGGTTGTGGCTGCCGACGACAGTGTTATGCCACAGACTTTAGAGGCTCTGAAACACGCTACGGCTGCCAAGGTTCCTATCATCGTGGCAATAAACAAGATCGATAAGGAAGACGCTCGAGTGGACCAAGTCAAAGCTGATCTTGCCCGTCATGGCGTTGAAATTGAAGACTATGGCGGTGATGTCCAGGTGGTACCCGTAAGCGGCAAGACGGGCAAGGGCATGCAAGATCTCGAAGAGAACATCGTCACCTTGTCTGAAATCCTCGATGTTCGCGCTGAAGCAGATGGCATGGCTGAGGGTTGGGTTCTAGAATCTAGCATCAAGCAAACTGGCAAGACCGCCACAGTGCTTGTCAAGCGAGGAACTCTACGTCTTGGTGATATTATCGTGGCCGGCAAATCGTGGGCCAAGATTCGTGGCCTTCGCAACGAAGCTGGTGTCGAGGTCCCCGAGGCACCCCCTGGAACTCCTGTCCAGATCCTTGGCTGGCGCGAGCTGCCTGATGCTGGAGAACAAGTTCTTCAGGCGCCTGATGAGGGCAAAGCTAGGACAGCGGTTGAGTACCGTGAGGAAATGGCTGAAAGACTAGAGAGCTCTAAGCAACTAGCTGAACAAGAGCAGCGTCAGCGTGAGAAGGAGGCCGCTGAGGAAGCCGCCGCTGCTGCAGAAGCTGAGGGCACTGAAGCAGAGCCTGCCAAGACTGAGCCCGGCATCCTCTACCAGAACTTCATTGTCAAGGCTGATGTCGCTGGGTCCGTGGAGGCTGTCTGTGGCACTGTTCAGGAACTCGGAAACAACGAAGTCCAATCTAAGCTCTTACGATCTGGCGTCGGCGCAATCTCCGAGTATGACGTCGACCACGCTGCTGCATCCAAGAGTATCATCGTCAACTTCAACATGCCTATCCTTCCTCATATTCGTCAGCGTGCCGAAGAGGCCGGTGTGCGCATCATCGATCACAGCGTCATTTATCACGTTGTCGATGATGTTAAGAGTGCACTATCGGACCTGCTACCACATAATATTACACACAAGGTCCTCGGCGAAGCAGACGTATTGCAAGTATTTGCCATCAACGTCAGGAAGAGATTGCAGAAGAATATCGCCGGTTGCAAGATCCGCAACGGCACTATCAAGCGGACGTCCATGGTCAGGGTTATCCGTGGTGGAGAGGTCGTCTATGATGGTAAGTTACGCCTTTCTCCTTTCTACACATTCTACCCATCTCCTTACTCTTTGTGTTTCTCTTCCTGATGCTGACTTAATCCACAGGCAAAATAGACACACTCAAGCATGTCAAAAAGGACGTCATGGAGATGGGTAAAGGTACCGAGTGTGGTATCGGTCTTGAAGACTTCCAGGAGCTACAGATCGACGATCAGATCCAGACATATGAGGTAATTAAGGAAAGGCGGACACTGTAACAACAGAACTGTAAAATATGTACAAAAAGTGGAAATCAAAAGGTGGTCGCTCTCTGAGGAAAGGGAGTTGTGTATGAATAGATGCATATGCAGACATGGTCTTATGACGGAAGAGCATGCCAAGATTTGGGTGTTGGATAGAGGGACGATATACCAAATTTCACTGTTAATACTAAAAGTTACAATTCCATGACCCCATTCTTTAAATTGTTGAATCAGTGATGTGGTAAGAGTTCTTATACGATTTCTATTTGGTAACCCTATGCTCAACTTCGAGATGGCGCTCCCACAGCATTGGATGAGAACGTCCTCGTCGTAATAGTAGCCTGGTTACGCTCCTTTTCCAATTTAGCCAACCCAATACGATCAGTCACCGGTGTAGCCTCAATGATGTTATCAAATTCATCATCGTCATCGTCATCCTCGCTTCCGCTCCTCTCGTTGTCCGAGTCAGGTTGGACGCTGGTATTAGGCCTGAACTGCTGCTGGTGTTGATGTGGGTTGGGAATGATGGCAGGTTTCTTATCGTCTTGTTGATTGGGGTTAGTGAAGGTCTTTGAGGCGAGAACTTTGCGACGAATCTCGGCCATCGCGTCCTCGTCATCTGAGTCGTCAGATATTGCGTAGCGATCCTTTCCCTCCTCCTCCTCCTCCTCTTCTGGCTGAGCTTTAGGGGGCTTCTTGCCAAGATATATACCGTCCACGCTTCCTTCTTCCTCTTCACCACTGTCATCCTCTTCGTCGTCGTCCTCATCGTCAGAAGATTGAATACGCCTTCGATTGGTATTTCCGCTGGTCCATATATCGTCGTTTCCTTCCTCTCGACTCTCTGCGTATTCTTTCTCCAGTTGCTCCATCCACTCTTCTTCAGTCTTCTTGATCTCCGCCTCATCCGCACATGCAGCATATCGCTTGAGTAAGCTGTGGTTGATCTCGAGGAAGGATGGTCCGTATGAAAACGGTGCAAGAATCTGCTCCGCCCAATCTGAGTGACCACAAATGTAGAAAGCTGCAGCCAGCGCTTCAACACAGTTCAGACGCCAGGGCTTGCCATAGTTGACCGTATTCGCAGCGACAAGGTACGGCAACAACCGCTCGCACTTCCCACCAACTTTATTCCACTGAACCTCCTGCGTTCTCGCCCAAGAGCACTCTACAACAGCAGCGCCGTACTGGTCCATGAGCTCGCGATCGGCAGGGGAGACGGTATGTTTGCCATTGGGTGTGATAATGACTCCGTTATGGCGTTGGCCGAGATGCAGGTCGCGCATCATTCCAAGTTTCATGAGTTTCTTTCCGGAACAGCGCTTAGGATCGCAATGGCCGAGATCCCAGCAGGCGGCTTTGAAAGCTGGGCGCGAAGAACCATCACCATCATCATCACGGCGGGGTCCTCGTCGCAGGGCTGGACCTCCTTTTCTACCCTTGGAGGCGAAATCTTTTTTGTGGCGGACCATTTTGGACAGTTTAGCGAATGTCTGTTTTGTATTGGATGTTATGTGGTATTGTTCGGAGGTATGTGTAGTTGACGTCTCGAATGCAAGTAATCGCAGGGGACGTCAAAATTAAATTTGCCTCCTCCAAAAAGCTATGGATGATGGGTTGATAAGATTCTCATGGTGGGGTTGATTGATTCCGTCAGTCAGTGAGGGGCAGCAACTCGAGAGGGCACTGACACTGAGCGCTGGGGTCCCCTAGCACTTGTAAGCTAAGGCTTCAGCATCAAATCCGCTATGACGCCGCTGTAACGGGGGCCTGCGGACGGGGGGCAAGAAAACTTAGGACCTCGACCCTAAGCTACATAAAAGCTTAGGGAAGTTAGCATAAGTTTAGGGTGACTCGTTGATGAGTTTATTTTAGCATCCTATCTCAAGGTCCCCGTGGTCAACCTAAAATGGTCGATGCTGTCACGTGGCTGATTGGCTGCTTTTCCCATGACTGCGCCACAGAGCCACATCTTACCTCTTTAGCTGTGGTACCTTTAGTACCTACCATCTGTATCATCGTATTGTCTACAGGTCCGTTGGCTACCTAGGTACCTGTCCAAGTTCAAAGACCATGATAGAGCAAGACAACATGGCAAGGGGGCTTTTGTTTTAATTAAGAACTTATGCCCTTTCTTTTTTAGTTTTGGACGACATTGATTGCCGTATCTACTTGTCTTGCTTGTTTTAGGCCGTTTCCGTAGGCTTGCTCCGTATTCGGTCGACCACCCGCCAGACTCTTAGGTGGTACTGGACTCCATCCATTAGTACCTTACCTTACTTTAGTACCTTGGTCCAGTTGACCAGCTCACCCTTCTATCAACGTAGCACTACCTCACACCCGTCGTCCTCGACCAACGCGCGCGCGCAAAATACCACGAATAACATCGTCATTTTGTGTGTGCATATCAGTATTATACATTCGCAATGGAAGCCGCTTCTGCTCGCGCTGCGGCTCGCGATCGTTGGGGCGATTTGCCATCATCTGGCCGAACCCCCTCCCAGCTCCAGCGCTTCATCCAGGCTGCCTGCAGTCCCGAGAACTACGAACCCAACCTCGCCCTCAATCTCGAGATCGCCGACCTTATAAACTCAAAGAAGGGAAGTGCTCCTCGTGAGGCTGCTACTGCAATTGTCAACTACATCAATCATCGCAACCCCAACGTTGCTCTGCTCGCCCTGGGCCTTCTTGACATATGTGTTAAAAACTGCGGATACCCCTTTCACCTACAAATCGGTACAAAGGAGTTCCTCAATGAGCTCGTCAGAAGGTTTCCCGAACGGCCGCCAATGCGCCCTACACGAGTCCAGGCCAAAATCCTCGAGGCGATTGAGGAATGGCGAGGGACGATATGCGAAACGAGCCGATACAAGGAGGATCTAGGATTTATTAGGGATATGCACCGATTATTGAGTTATAAAGGATACGTCTTTCCTGAAGTGCGGAGAGAGGATGCTGCTGTATTGAATCCCAGTGATGTAAGTTAATTCGCTTCTGCATGATATGTGTCCCGTACTGAACAGATCATGTAGAACCTCAAGTCCGCTGAGGAAATGGAAGAGGAAGAGCGAGAGGCGCAATCAGCTAAACTTCAGGAACTCATTCGCCGCGGTACCCCCGAGGATCTCCAAGAAGCCAACCGACTTATGAAGATCATGGCTGGCTACGATACACGGTCAAAGACCGACTACCGCGCAAAGGCTGCTGAGGAGGTTGCCAAGATCCAGGCTAAGGCGCGATTACTAGAGGAGCGACTCGACTCCTTCAAGGAGGGTGACAAGATGGAAGATGGCGATGTCTTCAGCGAATTGGCTGCTGCCCTACAGAGCGCCCAGCCTAAGATCCAGAAGATGTGTGAAGAGGAATCTGACGATCACGAGGCTGTCGCCAAGCTGCTCGAGATCAACGACAGCATACACCGAACAGCAGAGCGATATAAGCTGATGAAGAAGGGCGATATAGAGGGCGCTGCCAAGGTTGCCGCCGGTGGACCTCCCCCCTCTACTCCAGGAGTTACAGCATCGTCTTCAAGCGCAACGAATGAGCTGTCTCTCATCGACTTTGATGTTGATGCCAGCAGTAATGGTGCTCAGTCAAGCAATGCCGCTGCACCTTCTGCGAACGCCGGAGGCCTTGAGAATGACCTCCTCGGCCTAGATATTGGCGGAGAGTCGAGCAGTTTCGGGCAAGGCGGCGGTATTGCTCTGGGTTTTGGCGCAAATCAAAGTAAGTTGCCAACACAAACTGCCCATGCCCATTACTATACTAAAACGTTGACCAGATATTCCTGGACCTGCGTTATTATCTTCCATGACTCAGGACAACTCTGCCCGAGGTCAAGTTTCAACTCCAACTCCTCCCCCCTTTTCACAATTCGCCTCCTTCTCACAGCCCGTCTCTCAATCGACGACACCTCAGCCTCACTTCCAACAGCAGCCTCCTCCCCCATCACAGCCCGCCTCTGATCCATTCGCTATTCTTGGTGCTGGCAACTTGAACTCTCAACGCGCGTCTCCTGCGCCCCCTCAACCACAACCCGCTGCTACAGCCAACGATGATGACGAGTGGAGCTTCTCCTCTGCTCTCCCCCCAGAGCCAAGCAAGCCAAAGGAGCACAAGGCTGTTGTGAGCAACACAAATGTGAAGATTGAGATGATTGCCAGACGAGCACCTGGCAATGAGAACGCTATCAACATCGTGTTTGCCTTTTCCAACAACGTGACACAGCCCATCGGCGAACTTCACTTCCAGCTCGCCGTGACAAAGGTAAGCATACCCTTCATGTTTGCTGACATGGCATAAACTGACATGAATTCAGGGCTACGAACTTCAGCTCAAGCCTCAGACTGGTCGCGATCTCGCCCCCCAGCAAAACCGCGGTATCACGCAGGAGGTGCAGATCTGGCACGCGGGCAACCGCGCTCAAAAGGTCACAAGCGCCAAGCTGCGGTGGCGTGCCTCATACAAGACCGGCGAACAGACTGTCAACGAGATGGGCGAGGTCACCGAATTCAGCCTCGCATAAGAACAGTGTTTTGCTTCCCGGGATAGAAGCAGGCAGCATATGCAGGAAGTAAGTGGAAGAGTGGGATGGGGCTTCAAAGAAGGGTTGAAGGACTGCTTTCTCGTTTGTTGATCAAGATGGACTGGAGCATAGGACAGAAGAGAAAAAGCGAGACAGCGGATGCTTTCTGGTTTGTCAAGTGGGCAGTTGCCTCGAATGATTTGCGTATTGTGATTGTGACAGGCTTCTTCGCAAACTTGAGTCGTTGAATGCATTTGGATTCAGATCATGGACGACAGGAGTTTGTTCACGACGAAACGCAATTAGAAGTTCAAGTCTGTGATTTTGGTCACCAGGGCAAATTACATGGCAAAGCGCAATTTTGATATAGGCTGGTTATTGCTATAGTCATTAGACCATCATCATCTTTTACAATTGTTCAACTCCAACTCTAACATCTAATACCGGTGAACTAGTCCTCTCCTGTGGGAAGTGCCCGAATGGTCGTGACGCCTTGTCTGGCTGTTCTGCTTTCAAAAGCCACCATTGTCTGAGGGCGAATTATCAATCATCTCTGGTCTTTTCTTGCTTCATGACCGGGGTCACCCATGTGCCGTCCATCTGCAAGCATGTAAACCAGGTAAACGCCTGTAGTCCCACAAACAAATCTCTTACACGCCAATACTCCCACAAACCGCCTAAGGGGGCCATGCCGGGCCATCCATGATCTGCAAAACAGCCTCGAAGAGTGTGAAACAAAAGAAAAAAAAAGTGAGGACTCGGGATTTCCTGTGTAAATAGTTGTGGGCGGTGTATACTGCCAGATGCGAGCATAGCACGATGACAGAAGGTTAAGTGTGCTGAGCTAGAGCACATCTTTTGTTTGAATGTTGTTTCTCTTTTCAAGAGTGTTAAGCCCAACGCCAGTGTCGAAAGGTAGATGGCGTGTCACGAGGACCATTTGCAAATGAGGAAGGATCCTAAGCCCCTAACTCGCTGACAGCAAAGGATGGTGTGGTTGGGTTTAGTGAGTAGCCACCATGGGTAGGTGTCTTGGCCATTTGGGCCATTGTTTCGCGCTCAGCCTTCTCACGTTCCCGTTGTGCCTTCTCCTGCTTAGTGATACGGGGTTTTCGGGTGACAGAGCCACCTCGAGATCCGGGTCCTCCGCCGCGGCCGCTGCCTGTCCCACCTCTGGTCGACGCACCTCTTCCACCACCTCTGCTACCTCTTCCACCCCGTCCGCGCTTAGGGGGACCATCATGGCTATTACTTGTTAATACTTGATTACATAATATAAAAAAGGAGGATACATACCCAGCAGCTGGCTTCTCGACCTCAGGTACAAGAGGGCCAGAGTAGACAAAGAATCCGTCACGGCTTGCCGCCGCCTGAGCTTCCCATAGGAGCTCTGAATCGTCGACAAAATCATCATCAACATCGTACTGATCCTCCTTGAAATTACGCTTCTTCTTAGGCTTGGCCTGGGCATCAGGGCCGCTGGTCGCGCCGTTGTCGGGGTTGCTAGCCTCGGCATCGGAGAGATCAACGGACATTTCATCGCCAGATTCACGGCCCGATTCCGCCTTTTCTAGAGAGGCAGCCGCCGCAGCAATGCGAGCCTTGCGGTCTCGGTTGGCAGCCAAGCGAGGGTGAAGAGCATCCCATCCATACCGTTCTTCAGCCATGCGCATGAAATTGACATATCTGTTTGTCTCGCCGGCCTGGATGGGTACACTGAGAACAATGGTCGGGGCCTGGGCTTCTTCGCCTGGCTTAGCTCGACCAAAGTCGAGGATCGAGCGGCCTTCACTTTCTCCCATATCATCGAGGGTGTCAGTCTTTGGCGTGGAAACTCCAGTGTGAGGCTTCTGCTTTGGTGATGACTTTTTGATAGGACCATTGGAAATGGTGGTGAAGTTAGACTCTTTGATGACTGGCTTTTGAACGGGTGGTGGTGGAGGAGGTGGATCCTTCTTTGCTTCCTGTACTGGTGGTCGCGAAGAAGGAGTTGGTGTCAATATGTCGCGAGGCTCTTTGGATGGTGATGATGGTTGAGATGGTTCATGTGCCTGGAAGCGAGGCTGGTTCGAAGGTGGCTGATATGAGCTACGTGATTCATTACCACCAAGAAGGCTCGCAATGGTTGGCGATCGATTAGGCATCTGAGAAGCAGCCCTTGGCGAACCAGAAGTAGAGGGGTAAGGGCTATGAGAAACCATTGTCTCACGAACCGGATCGTAGTTACCACGGATGGGGTCGTAGCTTTGACCGCTGGTGCGAACAGGTATAGATGTAGAGCTATTATGCTGAGGCTGAGACTGAGGTTGAGATTGGGGTTGAGACTGTGGTCGTTCTACAGGCGTATCCGAATTTAGTATGTTCTGCATAAAGTGTTCACGCTTCAACATCTTTGGTGAATAACGTTGCTCGGCTTGATGTGATGAAGACGATGTTTGACGGTTATGATGAGCAGGTGACAATGCTGATATATGAGAGACATCCGACATGTGTCCCTGGCCGGCGGATGATGCAGCTGCGGCAAGAGACTTTGAATCTGCTGGAATTTCACTCTCACCATCTGCAGGGGCAATCTTTCTCTTGCGTGGCATTGCTGGCGCATTAGGATCGCGAGGTTTCCTAGGCTTTCGAGCAGCCTTTGCTGCATCGGCACCGTCCGAATTTCGAGGTTTCACAATGGTTCCAGGTTTGCGTCCGGGCTTCTTGCGCGGGACGCCTGCAGCTGTTAATTGAACCCATTGGTTGTCGACAAGTGCGTATCGTCTAGGGGGGCCTGTGCCTGATTGGGGTGGCATAGGCGGTGGAGGGCGTTCGCTGTGATTCTGGTGGCCGATGTGTTGATATTGGCCATCGCTGGAAACGACGACGATCTCGTCATAGTCTTGTGGTGCTCGGCTACTTGATCCATTTCGTGATGGTGAACCAGGTTCTGATAGTGATCCGGAAGGAGGCGATGAGAGTTCGCCGGCTGATGAGTCGTATCGTGACATAGACGTGTCGGCGCCTGTAGCAGCCATGCCGAGGTGTAGAGAGGCAATGAATAGCCTTGTGTAGCGCGTATGACAAGATTGTGAATGGAAACACCAATACAGGCGGTTATTGCATTAGACAAATTGATTGCCAAAATTGGAAACAGGGGATGTTAATGCTAGAAGCGGGCAAAGGAACCTCGCATTTGCAGCATCAAAACCCAAGGATCAGATAAGGCGTCGCGTAGGGCAAGGCTGTAATTCAAACCATCAAATGTCGATAAGGCAACGAATAGCGGTCGACAGGTGGTAGTGAGTGGTACACGCTAAATGGCACTGAAATGCAGCATCAAGTTGAGTACCAGGTACAGCGAATAGAAATGCCTGGATCTGTGGCGTGCGGGCCTCTTCAGAAACGGAATGGTTGCAAGCGGGAAAGCGTCCAGTCGGAGAGTGACGAGGTGAAACGAGCTGTGAGTGGCCAGAATGTGGAGTGCAGGTGCGGGCGGTGGAGTAGGTCGAATCTCTGAATAGCCTCAAGATCTCGGGTTGGGAAACCACTTTGACAGTGAATGCAGCCTTCTATGAGAAAAAGGTGAGCCGATCGCGAGGTATACGTCGCTTGAAGGGCGTCAAGAGGTACTGCTACACCAGGCGCAGAAAATAACGACAATTTGGAGATGATTAAGATGTGCGAATAGTGTCAAATTGATGAAGTCTGACGAATTCGACGATAAAATCCACTGGTCGTTGTTGGGAAAAATATGTGGGAGGTGGATGTTTGAGTGAGGGAGAGGAGGGAAAGAAGGGAAGAAAAGGGAGGAGAAATGAGATGGGGATGGCTACGTTTTTTTTCGGGGCGACGACAATATTTCTTATTTTCCAGGCCAGGAAGGAGAAAAACGGGGCAGGCCAACAGCTTCTCTTGTTGCCAGCAGCTAAATAAGAATGCTACGACTCGGAAACAACAAGAACGAGACGAGACGAGACAGGCAAGGCACGAGGTACGGTACGAGAAGAAACGAGGGGGGGCGGGCCATGACAAGCATCACCAGAAGAAAGGGAAGGGAAAGGGAAAGGACAAAAGGGAAATTGTATTAAACCGCCGAGGGGCGTGGCTAACTCTAGAACAACCTAATGAGATGGGACTCAAAATAGGTATCCGACAACACCAGGGAATCAACTAATGGTGATAGGGGGTCTACCAAGTAATTGGGTCATGCCATGACATTGGATGCTGGGGACGGATGGGACAGTACAGAGTCAAATTCATCAGAGCGAGCAAGTGAAAAGAGCCAGCAGAGCCGGGCTTAGCGGGGGGGGAGAATGAGTAAGATGTAAGTTAATGGTAGACTCAAAAAGACATGCATAGGCGGACGTGATAGAGAAAACAGACTTCCATGCCCGTTGACGCACGGATACTTTTTTTCTTTAGAGTAAAGGTAAAGGTAAAGGTACCGACCGACTCAGATTCCATGTGTAACATCCGTAGAACATGACAGGGGGGGTCGGGTCAGCTTTTGCAGGTGAGCTAAGGGGGTAAGAAAAGACAAGGCTTTGAATAAATGAAAAGATAAGTTTAGCATAAGCCTAGCATGAGTCTTGGTCAAGTATTTTTGACACCCTGATTCAAGCTCCGAAGTTTTTCTTACGCCCCAGGGGTGAGGTTCCATTCTTAGGTAGCGTGGGGAAAACTGCCTGCCTGCAGTGGACTGTGGACTCCAGGAATATCTCTCGGCTTGTGACATGTATCCATTTGTACTACCTCCAGAGGCTATAGGTATCTTGTAACACGTCATTTATCCGCTCACCTCTCAGCTGCAACAGTCATACCAAATCACAAGCAATAATGGCCTTGTGATATTGATAAATTCGTTCAGAGTCAGCAATCAACTTGACTAATCACCTTCTTGCCTAGTGACAAACATCCCAGTCCAGCCCAGCCCAGCCCATCGCAGCGATGAACAGGTCCCCCCCTTGAATGGTGTGGACCATCTCATCCCGAAACCAGAAACGTTGAACCAAGCTTAGGCGCGGCACGTTGACAGGGGTTCAACGCGGCTGCAGTAATGGCTGCATCAGCCACAAGTTTGTTTTTTTCGGCTTAGGGTACTACTTCAATGTGGCTGTTTTGTATTTGTTCTTCTTCCATCTTCTGAAGTGCATCCCAACTTACAGTTTCAAGCTGATACAAATATGTATCGCCGCGTACTTCAGACTAAGTGTTTGTAAGTTTGTTCTATTGATGTCTCAAATCACTACTATCTGGGCGTTTCCGAGGTCATTCGGTCATCAAATGATCTTGCAGGGACTGGGACTCTACACGGCACTTTTCTTCATACTGTACTCCATAGATATTGTACCTATCATCCACTGTTGCCTGTTTGAACTCATAGCTTATGCCCTAGAGAATCGATTAAAGCAGGCGGAACGAGCGCCACTTGTGTCTTTTCCCTTTGAAGATCAGGTTCTATTCATTCCACTCAATCCGACCGCGTCAACGTTGACTCCACAGGATTTTCATAGGCATTCATTTCCTGACGACTACCGAAAATACAAACACGGAAAAGTACGACATGAATAGGTGCGCACAATAAACACTCGAACTCTCCTGGGGCTTATTTTGTCACAAATACATTGCACCCGAGTACCAAACCAGGGAGCATGACGATTAAAAGCCACAAATTACAGTCTGAGCATGGTTCTGTGGCACAAGAGTTCTGGAACTCAAGAGGAACGAGAATCGATCGGCGCTAATGCACCACTATCCCGGTCTAATCTGTGGCGGTGCGACATGCCCTCACAATTAAAATTGTCTGTCTCAAAGAAACGAAACTCAAAAGCCCTGTTTCAGTAATAAATGTACATACAACATATTGTAAACTTTTGCGAAGGTAGCAAGACTCTCTTAAAAGAGTCAAGATTTTGACTTGTCAGGATTTTTTGTTTGTTAGCACTGTTCAAAACGATAAACAGAAGAAACCCGGTGACTGAAAATCGAATTCCCAATCATCGGTCCCTTTTACGAGTCATAAACATATTTTCGCCTGATAAAATACAGCCATCAAAAGCAACTCAGGATGTTTCGTCCTTCGCTAAATAGAACTCTGGCATAACTTTGACTACTTTGTATTTTATCTTGTTTATTCTGGGAAGTTTAGCATTGGCACTTTCATTAATGCTGAGTTCATGTCATTCAAATCCTTGCACGTGGCACATTCAAACAAACGCGCTACTAGGTGTGGGTCACACAAGG